CCAGTATTAGACTATTTCTTTTTTGTTTTTGTTTTTTCATTTAAAGATTTATTTTTAGGCTTTTTGTGCCTTTAATTGAGAGATAGGATAGTGGATAGAGTTGGAAATTAGGGAGAGAGAGAGTGGGGAATGATTTGCGGGAAAGGAGCCACAGGCTGGACTCCAATCTGGGTCGCAGGAAATGTTGTACAATCGACGAGTCATCGTGTTTAATAATCGTGATCTAAATAATCGAGATGATGATTTTTGCGAGCAGCCCTAATTTTTGCCCTGTTAATGTGAAACTGGTACCTTCAGTTCATGAAAGTTTCAGATGAAGAGACGATAAATACTTTTCCTGTTGACTAAAGAAAACGTTTCAAACACTCACCCTGAGCGCAGCCTGTATCGTCCTGTTCGTCCTGATTGCAGACATGAATATGTAAGAGGCCGTCAGTAAACACCAAGGCCTCATTATAATATTGTTTACACTTCTCTGACCCCGAGGTCACATCCTCTGCTTCGCTCTCTTGACCCTTTTACGGCATCATACGGATTCTGACCTGTGGAGAGAAACTCTCTGCCTCAGGGTGAAGTGACCTTCTCCAGAAATCTGTCAGAAAAGTTCCCTTTTTATTTGTTTCTGTGACCTCCTTCCCTTTATCCTCGTCCTCTTCTTCTTCTGTCTTTAAGACTCCGCCCTCTCCCTGCAGAAGACACTTTTTACCACAGCGTCATGGTGGACAGGCTGAACCGTTAGCTTTTACTGTAATCAAATGAAAGTTTCACATCAGTCGGTCACGGCTGAGACTATTGACTTCTACCTCCCATTCGGTCACAGCTTTGAGCATCGATCCACACAGTGTCACATCGAGACGTTTCAGATCATATCAGGGACGTTTTCTCATCAAAGAGAACAACAGCGGGAATTCGGAGCATGACGAAGCTGCTCTCCCTGCAAGGGGGGATCAGTGTTTCTGTTTTCTGTTGAGTTTTCCTTGTTTTTATTTTTGGTTATTTCAGATTTCAGCAGGTGAGAAATAGACTTATTTCAAAGCTTAAAGGAAATCCAACACAAGTCATGAATGGTTACAACACAGACTTTAAAGGTCAAATATTCTCCTCCTCATTAACCAGTTTAAATAAGTCTCAGAGCTCCTCAAAACATGTCTGTGAAGTATCTTGTTCTAAATCCACTGTGATCTTGTTTTTGATCATGCCTATAAACCCCTCTATTTTAGCCCTGCTCAGAACAGGCTGTTTCTGTGTCTGTACCTTTAAATGTAAATGAGCTGTGTCTGACCACGCCCCCTCTCTGGAAGGACTTGGGTGTCTCTGGCTTTCTCGCTCCATGTCCTATTGTTTACAGTGAGAAGGCAGACTCAGAGGCAGAACAAACACCTAGCTGTGGGAGTGTCACCCACCAGGGGGAGGGGTTACTGCCCTTTGTGATGTCATGAAGGGAAAATCACTGGGAGCACAAATTTTCTGAAAAGTGAAGCAGGCAGAAGACAGAGAGGATTGACTTTTCTCATCACTGGGGGTTTGAAGACAGACTAGAGACACATATTAGAGTTAGAGAAACATGGTAAAGAGGATTTTACAGAATATGTGACCTTTAAATAATACTAAAATTACAAGGAGCATTTCCTTGATTTCTGTCAATTCCTCTTTCATCTTCTCTCCTTTACAACACATTTGTACATTCTCATCATCCTGTCCCATCTTGTTTTGATTTTGCTCTTGTGTAATTAGTATTTAGAGCAGCAGTCAGCCTCATAGAAGAGAAAAGAACCCGGAAAGCGAAGTCAGTGAATCGAAAAGAAAACAAAAGAGAAGGGAAAGATGAAGCTAAAAGAAGCATCATTGTTCACTGCAATGGAGTCATGTCTGTATGTTCAACCTTATGAAAGGACCTGTTACACCTCTCTCTCTCTCTCTCTCTCTCGCTCTCGCTCTCTCTCTCTCATTTCCCAGACGTGATATTAAGCAGGAAGCTCGTCCTCTTCTCTCTTGGCACTCGCTCTGTTTTGCCCTTCGACGTCTCTTCCTGAAAAATAATCCTGTCTTTCTTTTCTTGGATCTTTTTAGATCCTGTCTCCATAAAGAAATCATTATAATTAAATTGAATCACCTTTGTGCAGTTCAGACATGAATACATAGATGAAAACCTGCAGACTTCTTTGTTTCGACAGAACGTACAATACGTCGGATCGTGTCCTTGTTCGATTCTTTCTCTAACTGTTGGTCTCTTTAAACTTAATTTTTTTCTGTTCTTTAAACTGTTCACTTTTTCACACAGTCAGGATGTTTCATGTTTGTGGAAAGCAGCAGCACACAGCAGTAAAGCTCTCTAACCCCCATTTTCCACATACTCTGTGCGTGCAGCGGTCCGTCAGCGCCACGCACTACGCCGCCGTTCGCTTCAACTCTAGTCAATTATTGTGTTTACACAGCAAGCGCCACAGTCCGTCTCCAGAGCGAGCCAGCAGCGCCCCTACAATCTGCTCCATATCACGTACACTGGGAGTCTATTTTCGACGGACCTCACTGCAAGCACGTGTCAAGTTGAACAGAATATAATGAACTCGACAGGAAATCAGACAAGGAAACGCACAGAGCGTCCGGTCAATTTCAAAATAAAACAGAACATACAGACTCCTGATCGTATTTTCCATCAATTTATCAACATGACGTCAAAACAGGCACCGGATGAACCAAAACTCATCATCTGAAAGACAAAGCAACATGTTGTTGGAACGTTGTTTTTTTTTTTTTTTTTGGCGTGATCTTGTAGTTCTCCTGTGATCTTGTAGTTCTCCTGTGATCTTGTAGTTCTTCTGTGATCTTGTAGTTCTCCTGTGATCTTGTAGTTCTCCTGTGATGTGTGTACAGCTGCTCAGCTGCTCTCACGCTCTTTAAACGGATCCAGTGCGGCAGCACTCACGCCGTCCGACAGAGCAAAACCGTGGTGCTGACGGACCGAGCACGGAGCATGTAGAAATTGGGGGTATAGCGGCTAAGCCTAAAACTTAAAGCCACTAAGGGGCTACATAGACGGACTAATCTAGCCTATTAATTAACGAGCTTGCCGGCTTCGCTCCTGAGCGTAAGAATATTAAATAAGACAGTCCAATATCTTCTTTATTTAGGAATATTTATTTTTCATTCCATCGTTGTCTCGATTGATGTCACATGGGAGATGTTCAAAAAATAATCCAGACATTTCCGTTTACATTCACTCCTGTTACCTCACGTGGCGTATAGCGGTCAAAAAATTGAAATTGCTCCTCGTCTAGCAACACCTGACACCCCAGTGATAGTTCCTACCTATGTAGAGTTTCACCTTAACCTAAAGGCGACACCTGCAGGAACAATTTGTGTTTGCATTTCCTAAACATGGCTCCTACAGGGGCCCTATCACTCAGAGATGCGTCTAATAGGCTTGGCTGCTCCAAAAGCGCCTGCACACATCTGGGGAAAAACATCTGGGAGCACCTGAGGAGTGAGGCTGCATGTGTCAAATAAAATAAATAGGGGAAAATAGATACGATCAAAGAAGTGTTCCCGCCGTTGCTTTGCTTCAAGATGAGCAGGGAAAATGTCATTAAAAGGTTTCTAATGAGGTGTTTTGAAGCCCAACGATGGCATTCTTCACATTTAAAATGCAAACACTGATACAAGTTCATAAATGTTATTATAACTCTTACTGTTGTTGTGTTATTCCGCTGAGAATCCCGCAAAGACAGACTTTCTCTATCACTTAATTAAGAGCAGGCTGCAGGCTCGTTCTGTGCACAGCGCTGCGGTAATCGTGCGTCTTTATTGTGTCACTGATGAAGTCGTGTTAGCTGAGACTCCTGTCTGAGGATGAGGAGGAGGTTCAAATACCAACACTGTAGAGACTTGTAGGAGTGATACACTTCTGAGCTCCTGTCAATGACGAATGAAATGACTGCTAAAGAATGCACACACAGACACACACACACACACACACACACACTGAGATTTTGAAACATGCTGTAACCTGAAGGAAATCTGCAGGATAAGAAGATGTGTGCTGGCGGCTGCAGAGTGAGCGTCTCGCATGTACTCATCATGACAGCTCTGTGCCAACTATGTGTCACATTTATTCTCGTTGAAAATCTGTGTCTGATGCTCATTTGTCTGCCTAACACTAAAGTGGTTACTCTTAACAGTTTTTGCTTAATCCAGTGTGAAGATAATCCATTGTCTTGTTTTTGCCTCGCGGCGGCTTGACTCTGTTTTTTTTCTGTTTTCTAAATCTGATTATTTAAGGAACGGTTTCAGGGCACCAAGCTCTCACGCAGATTCGCCTCTTCTTCTTTTTTATGTCTTAGGTTCACACCTAGGAGTCTTCTAGTAAACTAAACTCCTTCTACTTTTGACTGTCTATAAAGATCGAAAACACATCTCTGCCTCTTGTACTAAAGTCAAGCCAAAATACCTCGGCGACGGGCGCTGGTGTTGTGCTGGATGCTGGTGACATCATTTGTAGCCAGGGTCTGTGCCCCGCCCCTTCCTCTAACCCAAATCATGTATTTAACTTCCTGCTCAAAGGTCAAATGTCACTCAGGTGGGTTCAGTCCACAGCAGAAGAGATTCTTGTGTTGGTTTGAAGCAGTTCAACACATGTTAAATTAAAAATCATTGATTATAACTAGTATAAAAACATAGTTTGCAGCAGCTTTCCGTTTATTCAGACGCCTCTGCAAAACAGAACACGCATGTGGTGGGATTTAGAAGTAAATAAAAGAAAACAAGGAAACGCCTCAATGTCAATACTTGCAATTTAAAATAGTTTTTTTAATTGCTGTAAATCAGGAGTTTTAGGCCATCACAGTCACAGATATAAGTCTTTTGAGGGACTGATGATTATCTTCATTTATTACAGTTTAATTTCCTCAACAGATTAAAACTGTTCTCAAACTGACCACTAGGGGCCAGACGTGTTTCAGAAAATACGTTTTTCATGTCTTTTTGTTTGTGTTTCTCTGCAGCTGAAGAGTTTATGTGCAAGACGTCGGCCATTTCCGACATCGTCATTCTGGTGGACGGCTCCTGGAGTATCGGCCGCATCAACTTCAGGCTCGTCCGGACCTTCCTGGAAAACCTGGTCAGGGCTTTCAACGTGGAGTTTGACCAGACCAGGATTGGTACGGGTGGATTTATTCCTGTTTTTATTTTAAGTTCTTTATTGTATTGTGAGTTCCTAAAGCTACCAAACACATCCGGCGGGATATTTGTGAACTGGATTTAACGTCTCCCCTCCGTCTGATTGTTTGCAGGCTTGGCTCAGTACAGCGGAGACCCTCGGATCGAGTGGCATCTTAACGCTCACACCACCAAAGAGGCTGTGATCGACGCTGTGAAGAACCTGCCGTATAAAGGAGGAAACACTCTGACAGGTGAGGTCGACACACAGCGTCCCTCCGTTAACACACACAGATAACGCTCAGGGGAAGACTTGGAGGGCCGCCAGTCCTCGACATCAGCTTATTAAATCCACTTCAGTTCCTCGCAGGTCAATTTAGTGTTCAAACATTCATGAGCTTTAAGCTGATGAGACCAAACGATGAGTCAGAAGGTCGGAGCAGTTCGCTTAAACTTCCACAAGCTCCTCACGGCAACATTGACGGAGTAAGAAGTTAATTAAGCCTTGAAAATTAAAAGGTTCTGGACTTTTTTCCACTTTGAAACCATCATGACATTGATTTTGGAGGATTTAATCAATGTTTCTACATCGGTAGTTAAGGCAGAGGGTGTGTGTTGTTAAGGCGGCCGTCTTTCAGTAACTATGCAGCGCTGCAGGAAACACTGGAACAATCAATCCTCTCTTCAACAGCAACACACACAACACACACCTTAGAATTATTAGTTTATTAGTTTATATATGTTGAAGTGATGTTGTGCTGCAGCGAGACGTCAAACAACAGAAGGAGGATTCTTGCATGGTCATGTTTCTCTCTTCGTGTGTGTTTGTGTCTCCAGGTCTGGCTCTGACCTTCATCCTGGAGAACAGTTTCAAACCCGAGTCCGGATCCAGAGCTGGCGTTCCAAAGATTGGAATCCTCATCACTGACGGGAAGTCTCAGGACGACGTGATCCCCCCCGCCCAGAGCCTGAGGGAAGCCGGGATCGAACTGTTCGCCATCGGTACGCCTCACATCAACAACTAGACTAACGACATCACTCTAAAGTTCATCAGTCGATCTTAAACTTAAATATGGAGCTCAATCTCAAATCAGGACGGTTTGGTCACCTCTCACTTCTCTCTCGCCTCCAGGTGTGAAAAACGCCGACGAGAATGAGCTGAAGGCCATCGCCTCGCCTCCTGAGGAAACTCACGTCTACAACGTGGCGGACTTCAGCGTGATGAGCAACATCGTGGAGGGCCTCACCAAGACCGTCTGCGACCGAGTGGATCAGCTCGACAAACAGATCAGAGGTGAAGCAGCGGCTCACATGCAGCTCGCACGCAGCTCCCACTGTGAATCATAGTCAATAACCAATCATGTTGAGCTGTTTCTTTTAAATGTGATAGCGGAGATCTCGTCTGAAGTCTGTATTCCCGTACAGTTAACCCGGCAGCTTTTCTGTGAATCCAGCAGGAAATTGAAAAAGCATGTCGTATATTTATCTCACGCTTCGTTTCTTGTACAGGAGGCGGAGAACCTGCCCCTCCCCCCTCGGCTGTGGCTCCGCCCCGCGACATCAAAACATCTGAGATCACAGCTCGCAGTTTCCGGGTGACGTGGACCCACGCGCCAGGCCAGGTGGAGAAATACCGCGTGGTGTATTACCCGGCCAGCGGAGGAGCGCCGGAAGAAAAGGTACCTGAAAAAACAATTTATAACTTTACATTATCCTGAAACCGTCTTTGCTTCTGCCGTTTGTTGTTGTTGTTGTTATTCTCTTAAAATGACTTTATTTTAAGTCTCATCGTTAATCAAAGTTAAAGGCAGGGCAAGACCAAGACCATAAATATCACTAAGACATCATCATCTTGTGTTTAGGGGGCGTGTCACTCACTCAGAACATAACACCGAGAAGTTTGCGACCGTAATCGGGGGATAAAAGTGATTTGTTCTTTTAGAAAGAGGCGTTTTCCTTCTGCAGGGATGACATGGAAAAATAGCCTCTAAGTTGTGGAAATCCAGATTCGGCCCAATCTGAGACCGAAACAAGGCCGAGTAAAAATGCTAGATTAGATTCAGAGTGGTACAACAGTTCACTTCATGAATCTTCGAGAAAATAAAAATCATCACCTTTCTAAGACTGTTTACAAGAAAACACCCTGAGAGGCTTAACCGTCATGTCAGGAGGATTTGGTGCAACTTTGTCCCCCCCATAAAAATACTGAAATACTAACATTATGATGGGATATGATTAAAGTCTGCTGGGATGGGATATGATTAAACTCTTTTAATATCTCAGAGTGATTTCCATCATGAAAGGAAACGGCTCTACAGAATCAATAATAACGTCAGGATCCAACCAAACTTCTCCGTCACGCTGTGGAACAAATATTTTCCTAAATCTGTATAGTTTGAATTAATTCCAGCCGAGTCAACCTGATAAACCTGCAGCTGATTAAACATCTAAAGTTAATTTTCAGGTAAACTGCAACAGCACACCTTCTGCAACGTGACGACCTGTGCAGTCGCCACACATTTTAAACTCAAGCAGCGCCGTCATATTCATGTTTATACAGTCCCATCTTATTTTTATCCACTTCCCCTTTGATGTTTATTACGACTCTCGGCTGGAACGACCCCACAAGGAAAACTGAAGGTTTCATCAAAGCTGATCTGATCCAGTTACAGTCGATTTAAACCTCTTTGGAGGAGAGAGGAACGCCTGCAGCAACATGTGCTGCATGCACAGAGTAACAAACAGAAGCTTTTAGGATGTTTTCTGATACTCAACAAAGTGACTAACGGCACCAAATCAGAGCTCATTAAAGTGACTTTTTAATAACCGTGGTGTCAGAAGAGAAGCTCCTGAGCCTAAAACGACTTCACTCTGAAGTTTCTATCCAGCATCATGTAGCATCACGCTGCAGATGATACGTGAGATAATGCACACTCGGAGATCTTTAAAGCGTGTTGATTTGATATGTGTTCCAGGTGGTGCAGGGCACGGAGAACAGCGTGGAGCTCACCTACCTCAACTCTCTCACTGAGTACCATGTGGCCGTTTTCGCAATTTACCGCAGCTCAGCCAGCGAGGGCCTGAGAGGAAGCGCCACCACACGTAAGTTTGAAAGTTATGAAGAGTCAATGAAGACATTTGGGTTTGTTTGATCTCTGAGGGAGGATGGAAATGGTTTAGGTTCCGACCGCTGTCATGGCAACGGAGCACCGTAAGGCCCCATGTCCACCTAGCGCTGAGAAGATAGAAACACTGATGGACCAGCAGATCTGTGTCGACTACAACGCAGCACACTGACTCTTGCCCAGAAAAGCCACACAGGTGTTTCATTATGTGTTGGAGGCCTGACAGGACGCCTGTGGTGAGCTCTAATTCTGGATTCATCGCTCGAGGCCTCTTCTTCACCATTGGATCTCTGAACCCGCCTCTTTCAGCACAGCGACTGCTGATGAATGACAGGGGATTCCTCCCTGTGTGTGTGGGTGGGGGGGGGGGGGGGGGTGATAGATGCTAATGCTAATACAAGTCACCTTGGAGAAAAGTTAATGAGCTTGGCTTCAGTTTTATTTGAACTGTTGGAGGCAACAAATATAACTCTGAAGTAAATCTTGATGAAACCGACTGTAAGCGCTGTAAGAACATGACCTTTGTGTCCATTAGACGCTGTCTCCTCCTCTGCTCTGTGTTTTTAAGATATAAACGTTACTTGAGAAATGTCATTTTTTTTCTGACCAACCCTCACCTGTGGTCATGAGCTTTGGGTCGTGACCGAAAGAATAAGATTGTGTATACAAGTGGCTGAAATTAGTTTCCGGGTGAGGGTGTCTGGGTTCAGCCTTAGAGAGAGGGGGAGGAGCTTAGACATCCGGCTCAGAGACAGTTGAGGGGGTTCAGGCATCTGATCAGGATCCTCCTGGACGCCTCCCTCTAGGGGTCTCCCGGGCAAGCCCAACTTGGAGTAGACCCCGAGGTAGACCCAGAGCTCGCTGCAGGGATTATATATCCCTCCTGACCTGGGAGTGCCACTCAGAATCCCCCAGTAGGAAAATGTTGCTGGATAGAGAGACGTCTGGGTTAACTCACTTCACCTGCTGCCACACGACCCCACTTAAGCAGAAAATGGATGGAGTATTGGCCGTCCTGTTGACTTGAATGGACCACACTGCTTTCTATCTCACTTCCCCTCTCTTTCTCTCTCTCTCGCTCTCTTTCTCTCTCAGCAGCTTCTGGTTAAATATTTGACCCTGTTTGAAAGTCGTCTCTCCTGTACGTCGCTCTGCTGTTAATCTGCTCAATAGGACCCTGTGTTTGTGTCCTGCAGTGGCCCTGCCCACGGTGAACAACCTGGAGCTGTTCGATATCACTCACAGCACCATGAGGGTCCAATGGAAGACCGCCGCCGGGGCTTCTGGGTACATGATCCTGTACGCCCCGCTGACTGAGGGAGACCCCGCAGACGAGAAGGAGGTGAGGGGATTTTCTAATGTGATTATTTATGGAGAGCAGATGAGAAGCTTCGCGGTTAAAGGAGGTAAAATAAATAATATGAACACATAATTCCAGTAAATCTGCAGAATGATTCCGAGCGATGTGCGTCCTCTGCTTTGGTCTCTCGCTGCATTACAGAAGTTGTTTTATACCTCTGACTGTCGTTGAGTCCTCGATGTGGCCTTTAAGAAGCTTCAGACCTCCTCAGAAATGTTCGTCCAGCAAAAGTTCTGCAAGAGCAATATAACGTTAACGTACTAAGTTCTCTGCACAGACCTGCTTCAAGCTTCATACTTTATTCACGGTACATCATTCAGAGTTTTTTTGTTTCCTCTGTCAACCTTGAGGAGTGACTTTGTGTCAGACTGCTAACGGGCTTCAGCTCAATCGGACCGACCTGTATTGATGTCTCTGTAGCGTTAATTAACTTTTTATGTTTGTTCTTTCCTTCACTCTGTGTGTTGACCACATTGTTTTTAAACACTTAATCATTCTCAGTGAGGGAAATGAGACACAGGGAGGAGAGGAACCAGAGAATATTAAGCAGGAGACATCTTTAGGACTAGGTTTTGTTTGCATCATTCAGTGGACCCCCTCAAATCCTCCGTCTTCTTTACTCCTGAGACAGAGTCCTGGTTTGAGCTGCTGGAAATCTACAATGACAAGGAGATCGAGCAGTTCATGAGGAGAACACAGACGAGGTAGAGGAGCAGAGGTGTGAAGGCTGCAGCCAGCCGTCTGTACCCCTCCCTCCTCCCTACAGACCTCATCACGCCTGCCATCACTTCAAGCTCCAGGCGCAAAGCAATAAAAACAATTTAGGGAGAAATTGGGAGTCAGGATGTTTTCCAGCTCTGAGGATAAGCCTGGCTTGGAGGCCTGGCTGCATCATGCTCGTATGGCTTTCCCTCACTGTGCCTTGTGGGGACTCATCTGGGCCAGATCCAGAATCAAATCCAGTCCGGTCTGACTGAGTGAGATGCTTTCATCCTCACTGGTTCAGGGGGAAACTCGTCAGGAGGCTTCAGTTCAAATTAAACCAAAGAGAGAGAGATAGAACACACACATTAAAAGAGGTGAACAGCTTGGTCTGGGTTTTTACTAAAACAGCTGTGATGATCGTGCCCCTTTAACTGAATTTCCCCGCCAACAGAAAACGCCTGTCGAGTTTTTACTGACGTTTGTTCAAATCCCATTTCAAAAGAAGCAAAAGCTAGCATATGTACCATGATTTACGTGAATATGTTTTTCTTGGTATAGATCTCCATCCAGAAAACAGGCTGAACAATACGTGTTTTTTAAGAACTTTTACGCCATTATTGTAGAGCGAGGACGGAGGATGAAGCTGTCTACAGGGATGAGGGAGCGTCCAATAAAGTGCTGAAGGTCGGGGTCAAACCAGAGCCTCTGTGCATGAGGTCATACAACATAAACACTAAGCCACCCAGCCCCTCTGTTGCTTGTTTATAAAAGACATACACCCCTCCGCTATTTGTGCAAAAGACAGACTGAATGAAAACCTCTCGTCAGGCTGGATCTGGCTTCTGGTAGTTTTCTCTCTTCTATCACTTCAGGAAGAGACTTTATTTCAGGTTTGTATCTGAAGAAATGAGAGAGGTAGTTAAAGCACCAGGGCTATATCTTCACACCTTCATGCATCATGCTGCTTTCTTCAGGAGACAACTCGAACCAAACCTAAAGGATCTGATCTGTGAACGTTTAAATGTCTGCTTGACATTTTCATCCTAAAACATCCAGGCTGTTCTTCAGCGACAGTGATCCTAAATAGATGTAGAAACCAGCCCATGTGCTTGACAACTACGGCTAATAGTTTTGGCTTTTTCAGGAACATGAAAGACTTACTTTGGCAGCATCATTTTCTTCCCTGGATAAAAATTTGACACCGATTTTGAAGCTGAAGACTTGGCAGTGGCATTTAATTTCTCCAGGCTCCACGGTGAAAACAATTTATTAATGGGATGGCAGAGAAGAAGAGCAGATGGACAAACATTTGTCGGCGCCTCCTTTTTGCCAGATTATTTTTTTTAAATTTGAACATCGTTTTTGTTTTTGGCAGAAGGAGAAAAGATGGTGGAGGTCAGAGTATTTGGTCCGTAGTTTTTTAAGAGGCTGAAGCACGGGGGAGTTAATCATCTTCTGAATTAGCTACGATGCACAAAATGTTTCTCTTTCTCTGAGAGCATCATTGAGAAATCATTTCATGTCACCTGAGCCGGACTCTCTGCTTGTCTGGACAGGACGGAGGCTCGATGGAGACACTGAATTCATATCTTTGTGTGTGTGTGTGTTTGTACAGGTTAAGGTACTAGACTCTGTGAACGAGGTGGAGCTGGAGGGACTGACCCCGTCCACAGAGTACACGGTGACCGTCTACGCCATGTACGGAGAGGAGGCTAGCGACCCGATGACCAGCCAGCAGACCACATGTGAGTCTCAGAGCACGTTTACACAACACGAGAAACAGAGTTGATGACCGCCAAACTGCCGAGATCACGGAGAGAGACCAACTGGAGGAAAACTCTCAGGATTTGATTCCCACTTTGGAAAATCTGTCCGTGACTCTGAGATCGCTCGAGAAGTCGTGAGGTGTTAGACCAGCTGTGAAAATGAAGTTTCATTAAAGTCCTGACTGATTTTATGATCATTCGTCGCAGAACATTTCGATATACTCACGTCAGTCTGAGCTCCGCAGGAAGGGCACCAAAGATCTCCCAGAAAGATGTAGTTATAAATATGAATGATACAGTGAAGGTCGGCAGCGTTTGAGGTGAAGCAGCACAAAAAGAAAAACGTCTCTTCACCCCAAGTTCTTCAGCTCAGTTCTGCTGCTGCAGTTATGTTGCAGCGTGTTCGTTTGCAGCTTTGTGGCTTTTTCCGGCACAGTTGCAGCACGTTCTCCGCCCGGCAACCAGCGATGCAAATAAAAAATTACTGCACGGCGCCGGCTTCCAGCTCCTGCTCTCCGTGCTATTTCCTGCACCTCACTTTCATTTTAAAGAATTTGAAAGCTTTGGTGAGCGACCCCCCCCCGCTCCCCCTAACCGTACTCACTAATTAACGTTTTATGAAGTCTACTTTAAGGTCTGTGGCTCGTGGCTTTAAGGCAGGCCATGTTTACGTCTTTATGATGCGTGTTGGGCTCTGGACGCAGGTCAGATAAGGACGTTAGCCGCTGTTGGAGGAAGGCCGTGGCGCTGTGTGCATAATGCTTGCTCTTCATTTCTCCTTGTGTGTTTTTTCTCGTTCATTCATAACTTGCAGGAGAATATTCCTATGAATTATCAGTCTCTCTCTTTTGTCTGCTACGTTCCATAATGCATCTGGACACGCGCACGATGAGCGTTAATGGGTTTTTCATACAGAATCACTCAGGCCTTGTTTGTCTCCTCTGAAGCCCCTCTTCCCTCATTTCATCCGGTTATTTCACTGTTGTTTCATTCATGTCAGGACAGAATGAGCTTTGATGATCACAGCTGCAGAAAGAAAAGCAGCATGATGGAAATGAAAGCTAACAGGCTTCATGAAACTTACTGACACGTTTACTCTCTGCATAATCGGTGAAGAGCAGATCTTAAAATATTATCTGGATGCAGCTCAAGTTCTAATATCCATCAGGGGAAAGTAAATGAATCACGCTTCGTCTTTTATAGATTCAATATTTTATGATTTTTACCACAACATTCAGTCTGACCTCATGCAAAAGGAAGTGGATTGGATTTGGAAATATTTTAGTTTTATTAGGCTACCTTAAGATCCATTCTGCTAATTCATCTTTAAATACGTTATGAGAACTTGACGAGCATGGAGCAAAGTTGTAGGACACGCCCACCTTAATGCTCACTCAAATCTCCCTCCAACTGCAACCAGAGCTGGCCAATCAGAGGAGAGTGGGCACGTGGGGAGGTGGGGCCTTAAAGAGATAGTAGCTGAAATGAAGTGTTTCTGGCAGATGCTGAAATGAGGGATTTTACTGACGCCAGTATCAGATAAATAAGGAGGTTTTTGAGCGACACATCTCACAATGCTACAACAGGTGTACCAGAGTGACATCATTAAAGGTCTCCATTAGCCTCCATGCATGGGGTGCCCAACATAACCACTACTGTAGGCCGTGCGGCGCCTGGGTGATGTGTATTAACATCTCGTTCCTCAGTCAGATTAAAGAAGAATACAAATCTGATGTAAATAAATTAAATCTTCAGAAATGAAACCCTTAAAAAATCTTCTAATGTCACACTGAGACGTCAAACCTTTTCAGCATATTTTAGATCTTCAGCGTATCCAACCTCGAGGTGAACGTCTTGAAGTTTTCTGTAGGGATGCTTACGTTTTGAAACTTTCCAGACTTTCTTATCTCCTCGCTCCTTTGCTCACGCTGGTTCAGCTCTACAGACAAACCGAGGCAGGCGCTCCCTTCTTTGCCTCTTTCCCCCTGCAGCTTTGTCTTTGCTCTGACCCCCAGTATAATTGAGGTGAAGCAGCGGTCGGCTCAATCAGGATCTTTTTCTTTCTGTTAGAAAACAGATCAGCAATTCTATGAATAAAAAGTTTTTTGAGACTCTCAAAGAAAATCAGATATCCTGGCTGAATATTAAAGGGGGCGGCTAAGAGATGTTCGGACACCTGTGCAGAGAGAGGGAGAGAGAGGGAGAGGGCGAGAGAGAGAGGTGCAGCCAGAGGGGAGGTGAGATTCAGTCCACTTTATATATAAAATATTAGATTCTTGTAGAGCTTGTTAGAAACCCCATGAGCGATCAGTGTGTCTGCAGGCGACTACGACAATCTCTGTGCACTTAATTAAACGGCTGCTTTATGTTTTCTGTTCGTCAGTATGTTGTTCTCCACTCTTTTGTGGATGTTGTCATTCCATTGGATTACACATAGCTTTGATATAAAGGCAAATATTCTCATTATAACGTCATGTAGCGGACTCTGTTGCTTCAGCCGCTACTTCCGCGTTGTTTATTTACGTCACATCTTACCTCAGGAAATACTCCGATCCCCCTCTGACAGGGATAGTCCCCCGCTGTGAGGATTATACATGAACGGCTAGGTCGGGAGAATTTTCGGAGCAGTCCTCCTGTAATTATCTAGACATTATCCGGAGTGCATATGTGAAAACAGCTATAGTAGACATCTGAGGCCTCCGCTTTATCCTGCAGTTCCTCGGCTGTCCACTAGAGGCTGGCTGCAGAAGCACAGCCCATTCTAAAAAGCCAGCAGAGATGTTTACTGGTTCAAAAAACCAAATAGGTCTTATTAGCTCATATCTCGATCGACACACACTGTACGGGGGGGTGAATGTTTTGATGACTCATCAGTTTTGATTTGATGAAGGATAAGAGTTATTCAGAATAAGGCGTGTAGCTGACCTGATTGACAGGCGGGCGCGGAGTAACAGTTGGTCAGGAGTCTTAAAACCCGCCTCAGCTCCAGCTCTCAGCCTGTCGTTAGGTTGACTGAAAGTTAGACTGAGACAGCATTTCCAGCATGGAGACCGCCATCGATGGGACTCCAGCGCCCCCGGCTTTAGGCTTCACTGTGTTTGCTGAAGTTTCTTTCCTCCCTGTCTCCTCCTTCTCCTCCTCCTCAGTACCACTTACCCCGGCGAGGAACCTGCGATTCTCCGACGTGGACCACAGCTCCACCCGGCTCACCTGGGACGCGTCCTCGAGAAAGATTAAAGGATACCGCGTCATGTACGTGAAGACCAACGGAGTCCAGACCACTGAGGTGAGTGGACGTTTTCCAGCTGGGTCTGAACAGAAACTAGTGCAGTTCAAAATAACGCCTGTCAGAGTGTCAGAACGCCGCTTTAGCTCGCTGTTCATACTAGATATTATCGACATAGCTATACTAGACTATTATTACTGAATAGTTGCTGCAGATCATCGGATGTTTGTAAAGCTTCCCAAAGGATGACATATATGAAGGTTTTAGATATCTTAACACATCCCTGCTGCACATTTAAACCAAAATAAACCTGTGTTTAAAAACGTCAAAATGTCCCGTGTGTTGTCGCCCAGGTGGATGTCGGCAGCGTGACGAGCTGGATGTTAAGAAACCTGACCTCCCTGACTGAGTACACGGTGGGAGTCTTTGCTCTCTACGATGAGGGACAAGCTGAGGCCGTGACCGAGAGCTTCACCACCAGTAGGAAACTAACATCAGCTCAATGAGTCAGCAGGAGCGTGCAGATCACGACATCAGCTGTTACTGTGACTTTAAGTGTGTGTTTGTGTGTGTAGAAACCGTCCCTGACCCGCCGGACCTGAGGAGCAGCGACATCACCACAGACAGCTTCAGGGTGTCATGGCAGCACCCGGCCTCTGACGTGGTGATGTACCGACTCACCTGGACCTCCACTGACGGAGGAGACAGCCAAGAGGTGTGTGTGTTAACAAAGAGGGTCGAGATTTATCAGATACCAGAAAGAGTTTCACGCTTAATTTCACTTATTTAGAGTTTGCTAAAGAACACCTGCTGTGACTGTTAATTTATATAGGCATACAATGCGCTTGACTGTAGCGTAGGTCACATTTGATAAAAAGAAGCAAGGTCATATCCGTCAGCCTAGATCTTGAGCTTTCAAAAAAGAAAAATGTGTCAGTTTTATTCCTTTCGACAGAAAACGGCTATTCAAATTGGTTATTTGCTGGGGAAAGAGGAAGGGAGGGGCGAGGGAAGTGTGGAGACGGGGGGGGGGGGCGCAGAGCTGAGAGATGAAGGAGGTGTGTCCTAAGAGAGTGTTTGTTTTGGTCTGGAAAATCTGCTCTGAAAGTCGCTGAGTAAGACTTTGAGATGAAAAAACTCAACTCTCTTACTGTTTGTTGCAGCAGTGAGTATAAGGTGTTTTTAATGTTGCACATAAATTGTAAACAAACTTAAATCGGGACATTTTAAAGGGCTAAACTCTGAAATTCTCTGTTTTCTGAAAGTGATAAACTTTTTTTCGACTGACTCGGATCGCTGACTCTCCCGTCTTTTCTCACCTCCACTGTTTGTACGAGCTGAGCGTTAACACAGGTGTCCATGTTTGTTTCTGCTTCAGGTTCTGGTGAACGGAAACATTAACACATACCTGATAACGGGACTGAGCCACCTGACGGAGTACGAAGTCCTCCTCGCTGCCATCTACAACAACGAGGCGGAGAGCGACGAGGTGATCCTGGTCGAGTCCACCGGTAAAGAAACGCTTCTACAGTTTAGATTTTGTCGTGCTCCTTATTAGCATCTTTCCTCGGTCCTGAGGTCATCATGTTGCATTCAAAGTAGACAGTGGTATACTGTTCAGTAATGAAAGCTTGTGGAGCACTGCTTTGATTAAAAGACTCCTCGATTAGCGAGATGGACGGAGAGACTCACATGCTGTCGATACTTCAGAACTTTCCCGTTGGCTGTACTGTAGCTAGCAGGAGCGCTACACGAGAGTAAAAAGAGCGGCACAGATATTTCACTTTGTAGAATTTACTGAGCGCAGTGGAAAACAGTTTAAACCTTTCTCCTCTCTGAGAGACCGAAAAACAGACGGAGAATTATTTTCTGGATTTTACGGTCCTTAAAACCCCCCCCCCCCCCCCCGAACAAAACCAGGATGCTCAGGTCCACCTGAACCCATTGAAGTTCTGAGTTTGGTGCTTTAGCTGCTTCGTCACAGAGCCGATCTGTGCTCACTTATTTCCTGTGTTTGTGTTTGTAACGCAGTCAGAGGGAGAACATATGTTTGAACAGACTGGAGACAAACATCCTTTAAATCTTCTCTGAAATGTTTCCTCAGGCACAACACTCAAACATTTATTTGTCTTTTATTCTTCAGTTGAGAGAACAACCACCGTTGCTATGACAACCACCGTCGCAGCAGGTAAATATCTCATCCAGCTGTTGTGATGATTCGTGTTCCTCTAAACTTTCCTCACCTGTGTTTTCACTCTACCTCATCTAAATGCATTGTAAATATATTAAAACAGTGTCGTTGATTTTCTTAGAACCTTTTCTGAAACTTTAAACGTCGAATGAACGATTCAAGAGTTCAAGAGTTAGAAAACATCCGCTGGAAAATCTCTCGTGACATGATCCGTTCTTCCATGCTGCTTCTGATAGCGTCTGAAAATGTTTCGCCTTTTAGATTGATTCTGTGTCATCCGTCATGAAGGCTCTCGGATGTTTTACCACCCAGACTTTCCCGGGGAAAGTTTGATATTAAAAAAACGCTGATATGAGTAAATGAAATGCCAAAACCAGGACACCCTGATACGATCGGTCTGTCTGGTATAAATTGAAAAACATCCGAGTGGTGCCGTGTTCTGCTTCACTGAGTCGATGCTGAGCGGCGTGTCGGTGATTTGTACTCCCTCTGATCCTCCAGCTCCACGTTACGGGGTGAAGAACTTAAGGGTGGATGAGGAAACCACCTTCAGTCTGCGGGTGTCCTGGCAGGCCGGTGACACAAGGAACGTCCGACATTACCGCCTGAACTACATCAGCGCCAAAGGAGACAGAGCCGAAGAGACGGTGAGACCAGCCCCGTTTACTTTACAGTCAGAGTCACAGAGTGAGACAGGAAGGTTTGGAACCAAAGTGGAGTATAGGCTCATCGTTAAAATAAACTGTGAGAAACAGTTTGTCTTACTCGCAGAATCCGGTTAACTCACACGAGGAACATGTCAGTAAAGAAGTCAGCCAGTCAACAGCAGCACTCCTGAACTAAAACAATGATTCATAAAACATAGAGGCTTGAAGGTTTTCTTTAAAGCAGAGATGCAGGAAGTGGGACTGCTGAGGCTGCTGCAGCACCGCCTGAAATCAGAGACATTAAAAACCATCATAACCTTTAGCCTACAGGTTACCCTGGTTTATGGGATGTGTGGATATAGTTGCCTACACCGGTATGTGTGATTGTTTTTTTTGTCCGTATAGCAATCTGTACCTGGTTTATAAAACTTCGTGCAGAGTGACGCATCTCAGAGCCTTACGGTCCATGTGCACACATCGAGGAGTTTCAGAGGTTTTAAGCACGATCAAAGAAATCTTAAGACATTTGATCAACAATCTCAAATACAAAACATGCAGTAAAAAGTGTCGGTTATCCACAGACTGTTGTCATAGAGAGAGGGCGGACGTGCAGCACTTTTCTTCTCAGCGCACAAACGCTTCATGCAAACACTCCTGAGCGCACAGCCAGCGCTTCTCTGCCCGCAAAAAATGCTGAGTGGACACATCAGTTTAAAACTTTTAATTTTAAAACCTGACAATTGTTGCTGCTTCCTGTTTGTGTGTGAAGCCAGCTCAACGTTCAGATACATTTAAGAAGAACCTCCATGTACTGACCTATCATCAATTTAAATCCCACTGGGGGAAATTAAATGAAAGAATAATCAGGATTTAATTCAAGTTACGGTGAATGGTTGAAGAAAACTGTAGCCAGTAGAACGATGGTTTGGATTTTAAAGGATCAGAATCTGCTGTGTGTCGATCAGAGCGTGAGGGAGATTTACGGTGAAGGCACACTCTGTGATTTCATGTCGTCTGTGGAGAGAAGGAGCGAGGCAGACAAAGACGGTCCTGATGAAGATGATTGCAAGAATTCAGAGTGGAGTAGAGAGGAAGATGATGAAAACAGAGACACATCTTCAAAGAGTTTGTTTCAGGAGAGCGAGCGAGAGAAAGAGAGAGAGAGTGAGAGAATGGCAGCTCTTCACTTTAATGAGCAGAGACACAGAGGGAGAAAGACGAGACAAATATGATGCAAACAATCAGACAAACACACCTGATATAGAAAAACATTCAGATGCATAATAGATAATCGTATGAGGGTCAGAAGTGCAAACATTCACGCCGAGCTGAATTCTCACTCTAACTCGTATTACAAACAGTGTAGTGGTAAATGGAGGACAAACATAAAGCCCGTTTCTAGTGGTCCCACGGCTCATATTGTTTTACACTGAGTGAAGTACAAAGAGTTAAAAGAGATGGAGCGACTGTTTTAGGCCCTGACACACCAAGGAGATCGTCGGCCGTCGGTCCTAGTTGGACCGTCGGTGAGCGGTTGTCGCCCCAGATTTTGCAGCGTGTCCGGTTCCATCGCTACTGTCTGTCTTTTTTTGTACATTGGCGCGGTCGGTGAGAGAGATCTCACTGATTGGCTGTTTGGAGGTTTCATTTCTCTCCAGCTCTCCTCACAGGTTCAGGAAAGCCCCTTGAGCATGTTGCTGTAGTATCCATGCTTTCACTCATTAGTGCGGTTTCTCCTTATTTGTCGCCTCCGCCCCTTTTGTCTTTTTCCACTAAAAGACCAAGGGCTGACAACGCCAGCACCATTTTCATCTTTTTATCAGACATTATTCTACATTAGTAGACTACATATAATACGAGTGGTGAGTGACAGCGGTGTGAAAATGGTCTTCTTGTATCATAACAACGGACTACCGCCGCCTGCTGGCATGGAGAGTTATTTCCTCTCACATATGAGCAGAATGTACGTGGTGGTTGGTCTTCGGCTGCAGTCTTTGTGGTGTGTTCCAGTGCAACTTTTTGGTCAAGACAAAAGGCGTCGTGAGACGACCCAACAGGCGGCCTTCATCGCCACTATTGCCACTGTTCTTTGTTGTCTGCTTGGCATGTCAGGGCCTTTAGACAGCCTCTCATGATGGAGCTGGAAGGTGTTACTAACCTGCCCATCAGCATCCAGGAGCAATATGGTTCAGTATCTCTATCAGTCGATTGCCCAAACACAGATAAACCAGGGACTGATCCATCAGCCGACCCCTTTTTCCTCTGAGCCACATCCTCCCTGAGGTACAACCATCACTATTTTTATTGAGACTTTTTGCAAACTGCACCCCAAACTGATGAGTTATGTGCAGAATGAAAGCGTAAACGTTTTGAGATACGTCAGATATTCCTTCAAATTTCCACCTGGCTCGTGTGTGTGTGTGTTTGTAGTGTACAGAGAGCTGTGGTGCGTCTGCAGGTGACTCAGGCCACAGGTCCCACATCAGCCTTTTCATCCTGACAATAAAGAGCCGCCAGCTGCCCACACCATCGGCTTGCTAAATGAGATCTTTTATCAAAGTGCGAACAGCTGCGGACTCCGTTTGGCAACCCGGTCAGGTTATGAATCACAGAGTGCTGCGCTCTAACATTTAGATGTCTATCTGCTGGCAGGCTTCCTCCTCTTCTGCTTTATTCAGACTACATTTCACTCTGTGGCTGTGAAGAGAAGGACGCCGGCCAACTTCCAGAAAGAACAGTCTGAAAATAACTTGTTTACTCGGCCCTGATTTCTGGATGTCAGTTATCACCGCTGGGATTATAACAGCTGATAGTTTGTACAAAATGTGGCACAGAAGTTAAAACCAAATCATCTTGAATGTAATTAAATCTTTGACTTCCTGCTGCAGGTTTCTGCACAGTGCTTTGAGAAGAAGAAATATATAAACACATGGGTTGGACTTCAGTCTAACTTCCATTAACAATCAGTAAACATGTCAAAGATTTCTGCTGAACGCTCGGTCTGTTGTCTCTTAACTAACCCAGATACGCGTGCATTGCATGTCCGCTCCTGCAGCAAGGAGCAGCACAGCTTGAGTCCCGAAACAAAGGGGTTCCCGCTGTAATTTTTCAGATGCACTGACCACAGTGCGAGATGAAATATTCTCATTATAGCGTTCTATAGAGGACTCTGTTGATTCGTCCGATACTTCCACGTTGTTCTTTTTACGATAGTCTTCCCTCAGGAGACCCCTCCACACTTATCAGACTAAAAACAGTTTTTTCCCCCTAATGGTCAAAAAGAGAACTGCAGCTTTAAAGCACATTACTGTCATGCTAACCCGTGTCACAGAGTTCAGAGTTCCTCACTGCTCAGCCTGCTACACGCTCACCGATACAGAAGTCGATGGTTATTTCCATTCAGACGACTCTCTGTCACTCTCTCACCAGATGTCAGTCTGTGGGCTGAAGCCGTGGGGCGGCTCCACTCTGCAGCCATCTGTCCGCAGACAGCTGTGAGACTCAGTGAGGCTCCATTATTTCCCTGTGCTGCTTCATTCAGCGTCCAATAAACCAAAGCTGCCGGGCATCAAGTGCAATTCCACCGAGTGTAAACAGTGTTTCGGCGATTATCGCTCACCGACAAATGTTGTTCTTGGAGGTAAAAACAAAGTCAAGAGATGATTAAAAAGTTTTTCACCATTTTCCTTCTGTCAAAGATTGTCTGCAGCTTTCAAACTTCAACAAACAAACTAACGATTTCGTCGAGGTTTTCTGAACGTAATGAAGCTGGCATCGTTGTGGAGATTTGTACTGATGTGTTTTTGTGAAGATCTCTTCAAATATCCCAGACTAAGAAGATCTGTCTGCACACATTATCTGAGTGTCTCTTATTTCGGAGACATAAATAACCAAAAGAAAAAAACATTGACTTCATGCTGAGTAGGGATGGGTACTGAAGCCCGGTACGTTTTGGTACCAGATGTGCTTGGGTGGTCAGATCTGCTCGGGGTCCTTCGCCTGCGTTTGTATGATGATGTGGCATGTTGTGATTGGCTGTCAGAGAGTCTGAGAGAGAGATCAACGTCTCCTCGTGAAAGAGGAAGAACTCAAACACACAGCGTCCGAACTGCCTTAAATGTTACACGTTTGATGAATCGCCCTGCCTGAACATATTCACACGCCCATATTAAATGTTGGTAATGGTGCCACCTACTGGTCAGACAGTAAGCCTCGTGTCACGTATTTAACCCGTTTACTTTAATTGTACAGGATGTGCTCTCACTTCCTGTTGTGACAGTTTAAACCCGTTTTGACCACTCTTGTATTTCATGGTAAAAATTCTAAATAGATTCAGCAATCATCGATATTCTCAGTCAGAAGAACCCGAGAAAAATACATCTGTAAACTCTCGGACGGACAGCCAATCACAACGCGCTACATCATCATACAAACGTTCAGTCAATCATGTCGCGTAACGCCACTAGCAGACGCAGGACCCCAAGCAGATGTTGCACCCGAGCACATCTGGCACATATGATTGGTTGGTACTGTGAGTACCGTTAAGCTCATGGACAAATGGTGCTCTCTTTCATGCAGCGCTTTCTGTACGCGAAGCAACAGAGACATCACTCATTCACAGCCTGCTTCTGTTTCTGTTGCTGAGTCTAATAAAATAGTTTGGATTAACGAGCTGCGGCTCGCTTTTCCTAGATTTTAGAGGCACGAGCTGCCGTTATGAGCATCAGAAGGATTCCTGTCTGTGTGTGTGTGGACCCAGCCCCTCTCTGTGTGTGTGTCTGTGTGTGTGTGTGTTTGTGTGGACCCAGCCCCTCTCTGTGTGTGTGTCTGTGTGTGTGTGTGTGTGTGTGTGTGGACCCAGCCCCTCTCTGTGTGTGTGTCTGTGTGTGTGTGGACCCAGCCCCTCTCTGTGTGTGTGTCTGTGTGTGTGTGTGTGTGTGGACCCAGCCCCTCTCTGTGTGTGTGTCTGTGTGTGTGTGTGTGTGGACCCCGCCCTTTGTGTCTGTGTGTGTGTGTGTGTGTGTGTGTGTGTGTGTGTGTGTGTGTGTGGGTGCACACAGGGACTCATCTGAGCCTTGAATTTCCATCTTAGATTTGACCCGGAAACACCAAAGAAATGCTTGAAGGTCACATATTCTCCTCCTTTCCAACCAGTTTAAATAAATCCGCTCTGACTCTGTATTTGATCTCGCCTTTAAACCCCTCTCTCTGCTGATTTTAGCTCATTAAGCTTGTTCACCTGTAACTCTGGTCCTTGTTGTGAGGCCGACTTGTCACCTTAAATTGCCTCCCTTCCCCTGCGCACATGTCCGTATGTTTCACGCGGTTTTTCCTTTAAGCGCTGCAGTTCCAGGGAAGTCTCAGGAGGATCAGACTTAATATTCTGGGCCTGCACAGCCTCTCTGTTGAGATCCAGATTGGCTCTCAGAGTCGTATAAATACTTTATGAAGCCGTGTTTGCATTGACAAAGTGGAGTTAAGGGAGTGTGGCTTTGGGTGGCTCGCTGACAGTTTAGAGACTTGCTGCCTTTTTCATCAGACGGCGCTGAAGTTGATTTGTCCAGGCCCGCGGTGTTTGTCTGAATGACACGTCTGAGAAAGTGTAATTTTTAGGAGGAAGGAGAGCGTTTGTGGACGGAGCCGGGCTAGACGGTACATGTTCAGCATGCAAACAGACAGACGGAGACAGAACGACACAAAGAGACGAGAAGGGCGAGAGAAACAGAGGAACGGAGAGACTGAGGATTGTCTTCATGCACACAAACAGCTCAACCTTTTACCCACGACGTCTGTTCCTCGGATACATAAACAGTTAGACCAGCGTTTAAAAAGAGGCCTGAAACAGAGAAATCCCCTCTTTGTGTTTGATTCTATAAATAAAACGAGGGCTCACCTGTTCCTCTGAAGCGACATGGTGGAGATGAAACCGACTTCTGATGATATTTCACAAACGTATCTTCACAAACGTATCTTTATTCTTGTCTCAAACACAGAAACACTTACACTGAGAGGTCTTCTCCTGCTCTGTTCTCCAGTCAGTCAGCACATGTTTCAGTTGAAGTCGATTTAATGGCTGAAACATGAAAGCGTTCTCGTGTCAGCCAGCATGCCTTCAGCTCTTTCTCTCTCACGCAGGAGAAAGTTGGAAAATTTGTAATCAAACGTTTTAAATATTAACTACAGAAAATGATTTTAATCAACTGTTAAAGTCAAAATGTTAAAGAAATGTTCCTAGAATCCACAGTAACATCAATGTGGTGCGGCTGTGGTTCAGTGGTTGAGTTGGTCATCTTTCAAACCATCTCTTGTGGGTTTGATCCCCAGCTCCTGCAGCCACATGTCTGATGTGTCCTTGGGCAAGACACTTAACCCCAAATTGCTCCCACTGCTCTGTATGAATGTGTATGAATGGATGAGTTAATACTGATGGACTCTTTACTCAGCAGCCTCTACCATCAGTGTGTGAATGTGTCAGTGTGACCTGCGGTGTTAAAGCGTTTTGAGGAGTCAGAAGACTAGAACAGAAATATACAAGTCCATTTACCATTAAAAACGTAGCAATGTTCAGTTTGAACTTGGTAGAAAAGCAGCAAGTCTCAGACCGTTCAGCTCATTCTCTGTAAAGATTCAGCTGTTAAATTAGACCTTGGACAGATCCGATCTAATATCAGTATCCGGTCCAATATGGCCGTTATTGACTCGGTCACACGGCGGCTGTTTGTCAACAGACTGTTGTCATAGAGACAGGACGGACATGCAGTGCTTTTCTTCTCAGCGCACGAACACTCCCAAACGCACAGCCAGCACTTCTTTGCCGGGGAAAAAGGCTGGGTGGATGCGAGGCCTTTGAAAACCTCTATTTTAACTATCTGATCATATTTATACTCCACCAGAAGTCTGTATCATTGAGCGATAAAAGGGACGAAAGCTCTGTTTTGATAATGATTTATAAACGAACAAACAAGAAAAGAATTTAGATTATTATTCATGAGAAGAAGAATCAAAGAGAGGGTCAAGACGGGGGACACAAAGCGAGAGACAGAAGACGACTTCAGAGTCTGAAGCAGAGAAAGAAAGCCCGCGGGGGAAAGAGGCGGATTAGCTTCTTCTCCTCTGAGAGCGTCGGCTCACCTGCACAGACGAGTCATTTAGGGATCAGGTTGAACAAAAGGAAAAGTTCACCGACAGGTGAGGAGGAAAACATGGACACAATTAACCTGAGCAGCAGCTGAAACCTCAGAGCCCCGCTGCAGCAGCTCTCTTTGTGTCACCTCTATGAATAAAAGTAAAATGCAGCATCTTTATTTCTATTTTTAGCTCTTGAAATCTTCATTAGATTAAAGTGCAGCTGTTTTAAAAGACCACACGCACATGCCTGTTGTCCTCTGAAAGGTTTCTGTAAAATGTTTTGTCTTTCTGTTTTTAGACCGACGCTCTGACAGCAGGAATAAAAAACTGAATGAACATCTCAGATGATTTATGGTCAAATGGTAAACTTATGAAGGAGAATAGGACAGTAAAAAAAGCATTATTGTGAAATTCAAGTCCAAATGGTGGACTTCCTGCTGGGTTTTGGTACAAGGTGCGAGACATTTTTGTAGATCTTTACACAGTTAATAATTATACTCAGGTTCATACCTGTAGGTCAAAGTGACCTCTATGGGGGACAAGTTTTTTTAACATCTGAAGGGGGCGCTATTTAGCCAGATATATTGAGTTTTTGGGCATTTTAGAAGAATCAGAAGACAGAAGCAGAATCGTTTGTTTCCGAGAGGGTCCTCGCTCTGAGGTCGCTGCTCGCTGCTCGCGCCCTGACGATGGGGAAGAAAAAGAGGAGTCTGACTGGTTATTGGGCTGGCATCAATTTAAAGTCTAACTCTAAATATTTTCTGTTTCAGAGGACGGTGCCCACAGGTCAGAGCAGCCTGGTTCTGCAGCCTCTGCTGTCCGACACAGAGTACAAAATCGCCGTCACTCCTGTTTACCCCGAGGGAGACGGGCCGACGGCGTCACGGATGGGAAGAACACGTGAGTCATGATGTTTGTTTTATGTATTCAGGTGATTTTAACGGCTCTCTCTCTAAGGACTAAATATCTGTAGTTTTTAAAATTTTTATAGCTTTGACAGACGTCACGTGGCGTTGCGTCACATTGAGTACCCCCCTGAAACAATCTCTCTCTGTTTGGATACGGTGGTGAAGTGCTGCTGACTACAGACACATTTAGATTTTGGATCCCACAGGCGGCTTACAGCCACAGCGCTCTCCCACTCGGCTCTGTTTAAATATAAAACCTTAGATTTGGATTTTTCACTTTGTTCATAGTGCAGAAGGACATGCAGCAGCTCGTGTCACGTGGTTATTATTCCCCCCTCAGCGTGAAACGGATGTGTTTGATGCCGACTGTATCAGCTAAATTTTATAAAACACGTTGTATCAAAAAGTGTTGAACCTTTTGACGGCCTTAGTTGCTACAACCTTTCACGTCAGCAGCCGTTTGTTAACTGAAGATTTTAAACTCGGCCTCCTCGGTGTCTGTGAGAGAGAGAGAGAGAGAGAAAGGGAGAGAGAGTTCTCTGTCTTTGCAGCTGTGAAGCTGAAGACAGAAATATGTCAGAAACATTCTTTTAAATGGGACTGCTGTGAAGACTCCGGCGGTGGCGGTGGCTAATGATTTTCTCTGCTGAGAACAAACACTCGACTCTGAGAGGAGGAAACGCTCAATTCAAGTCATTCATCTTTCCAGTCCATCCCATCATGTCTCCATTTGCGGCGCGTTACACACATTAGCAGACGTTAACGTCGTTTGCCGGGGTTTTAAACGATGGGGCCCGCTGATGATGAATGGTTCCTGTTACAGAGTGAGGGATGAGATGATCGCCCGGAGAGTAGCGGCCAGGAATGCAGAGAGAAGGGGATGATGGGTATTTTCAGAGTGAAGATAGATGATGTGACAGAAGGAGCCGCTGTAATCTGGAAGTTTGAACCAATGAGGGATGGGCTGAGTGCTGAGGGAGGCATGACAGCGAATGCAGAGAGGATGATTGGGTTTTCAGTCCCAAACTGAAGATAGATAGTGACAGAAAGAGGCAGAATAATCTGAGGGACCGGTCCACGGGGGGATTGGATCATCACTCAGAGAGATGGTTCAGGTGATTCTAGATTTAAGGGCGGGACTGCAGGGCGAGAATTTCAATCCTTTTTGGTACCACGTGTTTTTAAATGATACAATCTGTTATCTTCTAAATTAAGAAGTAAAAAAAAGAAAGATCTTCAGTCGTATTTTTAACTAAAAGCTGCTGCAAGAGAAGAAAGAAAAGGATCCGAACGCTCAGCGGAGTCTGACGGGAAGGAGAGCTGCCCGCCGTAGAGAGGGTGATTGTCTTTATAACGGTGGTCGACCACAGAGGAGGAGGAGGAGGCAGGAGAGGCGGTACAATGTGAAGGTCTCAGCTCGTAGGATGGTGAGAGGGACGAGAACTCGATGGTGAACTTTTTAACCTTCAGTAGGCCGATTAACTCTGTGATACTTATCGATACCACGAAACGACACGGTCCCTTCATCAAAGCTGCTGCAAACGCAGGTCGGCAGATTCTGACGTTTCTCGAGTCCCTGTGGCGTCTCAAAAAGATGAAAAAGTTATGTTTATTTCTCCAACAGACGGGCAGGAAGCAGAGGGGGAGACGCCGTCTAAGGTCCCGCCCCCGTGTCCACCTAGCGTTTGTTGCCGGGCAGTAAAGCGCTGGCTGTGCGCTCGGGAGCTCTTACATGCGGACAAGCGCTGCATGTCCGTCTGGTCTCTATGACAACAGTCTTTTGAAAAATGGCCGCTGTATGACTGACACTGCTCCGTTACTTTTCACTGCATGTTTTATATCTGAGATTGTTTATTTCCCTATCAAAGAGGATGTGGGCACAAGACACGATCAGTAGGAGACAATATTACGGGGAGTGTCTTAAATGTGCCAAAGAGCGCCGGTGACGTCAACAGCACCTTTCTGAAAATTTTAAAGACTTCATTCAACTCGAGCGGCCGCACAAAGAAGGCAGAAGCCTCGTAAAAAAGACTGTGCTGCGCTTTTACTCCGGGCTGCTGCCTGCTGTTGAGAACGCTCTCTCCTCAATGGTAACAATTGAGAAAAGACGCTAGCGCTCCGAAAAAAAACACCAGGTCGACACGGGGCCATAAAAAGTTCAATGGGTTAGCAACTTATTTGCTGCAGTTTGCAACAGTTTGCTTCGATTTTCGGTTATTCAAAACAAGAAATTCACCAAAGTCGAGCTCTCGAGTGGTGTCAGGGTTGTCACAATATCAGAATATTAAACTTTGATTTTATTCTAGTCACAATCGCATGACATTGATACTTGAACTATAAATCCAAGGAACCAAAACTGGGTTAATTATTGTTTTTATTGTCCATTTTTACGGCCACAAACCTCATCTCCCCCATCGCAGGAGGTTGCATCTTTAATCGCCCTCCAGCTTCTCCAGCAAGCAGAGAATGATTAAGATCTTGTTCGATTGCAGGAACTGTTATGAACGATAGTCAGGATGATAAAGAACCACTTTGTCTGCATCCTCTTTGCTCCTCAGTTCCTCTCTCAGCTCCTAAAAACCTGCGTGTGTCGGAGGAGTGGTACAACCGCTTCAGAATCAGCTGGGACGTTCCGCCTTCCCCCACCATGGGCTACAGGGTCGTCTACCAGCCGGTGTCTGGTAAGTTCTCTTTCAAACAATAATTCTTTATTTACACTTCAATGACTTCCTGTCTCCTCATCCTTCCCTTCTCTGCCTCCTCCTCAGCTCCTGGACCGGCTCTCGAGACCTTCGTGGGAGAGGACGTGAACACCATGCTGATCGTCAACCTGCTGAGCGGGACCGAGTACAGCGTCAAGGTCATCGCCTCGTACACCACGGGATCCAGCGAGGCCCTCATAGGCCGGGCCAAGACCTGTAAGTCCAGACTCCTTTTTTGTTTTAATGTAATGTCACAGCTTCTGTCTGGAGCTGGCTGACAAAACGTGTACAATCAAACACTGACAGAGCTTGAGAAACAGTTTGGGTGGATGAGCAGATCCTGGTTCAGGAGGATATACGTGGTCCTTCTCCTGAACCGTCTTCATAAGTGTCTTCAGAGACTCCAGAACATCAACATATTATTTTCAAACTGTCTCGTTTACCTTCAGTGATAAATACAAACGATATAAAAACTGATGAGCAGAGCCGACATCAGGCCGTGTCGTCGTCCGTCCAATTAGAAACTGTAAGGAGTTTTTGGAGCAGCCACAGCCAATCAAGAGGCAGCTAGTTTTTGTTTACTTCAGGGAGTTTTAACACAAGAAATTCAGACCAATCAGAGAGCACTTTCTTCGCTCATCACACATTTAGCTCCTCTTGTAAATGTCCCCGTGTGAACACAGACCAAACTGGAGGTAGTTATGCAGAAATGGAACAAACAGGTCGATGATTCAGACCAGAGCAAACGATCTACAGGAGTGAAAACCTATTAAAACGCTTCTGAATCAGTTCAGTGCGATTTTCAAATGTATTATAAGAAACTGCTGTCACAAGACGAACGCTCAACTATAAGCCTGTCCACTTAGTCAGAGACGTCTTTGTCCAAGCGATAATGAACTGCTCAAATCAGTGCTTCTTCTGACTGATGCTGCACACCTTAATAATTATTTACCTCGATATCGATCCAATTTGTCCCCTCGGCTGTTTAAGTGAATCAAACAGTCTCCTCTAATCTAATCAGAGCAGTGTTCAGACGCCTGCGGACATCAATATCCCGATCCCTACCTGACACCTTTAATGGAAACTCCTCCTAATTACGTCCCAGCTCTGGAAGAAACTGTAAGATGCAACAGATCTGTTATCTCTCTGGTGATGTGGACACTTCCTTAAAGTGTCCGCCTGGCTCGATCAATCAGTGTTCCTCTAGTGAATCATTGGAGTAGGATCCGGGGCTTCCTTCTCCTGCATGATAATTAACCATCTGATCGCATGGCGGCCTTGCAGAGAAACAGCCTCTCTTTGAAACTGAAAAGGTCTCCGGTTTGATCGCCATGACAGGACCCACAGCAGCCCCGTGTCCCCTTTGAAGCATCCTTGAGAAGGACCGACAACCTCCAACCTCTTTCATCTGTCCTCATTTCTCTGCCAATAAGAGCTCTCGACTGGAGTTTCAGCTAAACGCCTGAACATGGAGCTTTAAACGGATCACAGGAACGCAACTTTGTATAGCAGCCACGGCCTCCCTCACCTGCATGATAATTAAGCTCCGATGGTTTGATTTGAAGGACGAGTTTTTCACTTCACGAGTCGGTGAAGATAAAGAGGGGAGAAGCAGGGGGCTGAACCTGGAGGAGATAGGGTAAGGAAGAAGAAAGACGGAGGGATTGGGGGAGTTGAAAGAAGAGGTGTAATGATATGAGGCCGTTGGGATCCCAGGAGGTGAATGCCGTTCTGCTCAGCAGCATCTTAATGAAGCTGATGGACCCTCTGAGATGAGCGGACGGCGGCTTCAATGTCACACAAGTATCACTAAAGGACAAAAAGGAGACTGACTTTCCTCACATACTTTTTCTCAAAGTGTTTGTGATGAGTAGAAAAAGAATCTGTTTGCAGATACTCCATAGACTCAGCTTTTTAAAATATAAAAGAGGGAGAGCACACGGGAGAGTGATCATCATGATCATTTCTATACTGCTTTGTCCCGTTTGGGGTTGCAAGGGGGCTGGAGCCGATCCCAGCTGTCATTGGGCGAGGGGCGGGGTTACCCCTGGACTGGTTGCCAGCCAATCACAGGACTGACATATACCTGACAACCAGCCACACTCACATTCACACCTACAGGCAATTTAGAGTTACCAGTTAACCTAACGAGCATGTCTTTGGACTGTGGGAGGAAGCCGGAGTACTCGGAGAGAACCCACACATGCACGGGGAGAACATGCAGGCTCCTGTCAGACAGGGATTCAAACCAGGAACCTCCAGCATTAACCACTGTGTGTGTTTATGTGTGTCTGTGTGTTTTTTCTGTGATATACCTCTCTGAAAAAGCATGTCAGCGCCCTTGAAGCCGACCGGCGGTACATTTTTTAAACCAGTCATCTGGAAACACAGCGGCGTGTGGTTATACACAGATTTCTTTATGTAACAGCGGCGTGTACAGAAGAACTCTTACTGCTCAATTACACGCTTATTTTCAGAGATCAGAGGGATGGCAGGTTTATTTTAGAACATCTTTAACTTATTTGTATTTCTGTACAAAGAGAGAAGTCTTCACTTTGTTTCATTATACGAGACTTAAGTTCTCTGTTTCGGAGAGTTAACCGTTAAAATGACCATAAAGATAACCGTTGAAATAACCTTTAAGGAGTCACACGTTTGCTGTTGGAGAACTTCAGAGTGAAGAAAGAACGTAAACTCTTGAATTCTAGATGTTTGATTAAACCTGTTTCATTATTTTCTCCTGGCTTATACATTGTTTCATTAATTAACCCTTCGTTTCCTTCCTTCCTGCAGTGTACCTGGGGGTGACTAACCTGAGCACCTATCAGGTGAGGATGGCCAGTATGTGCGCCCAGTGGCAGCCGCACCGACACGCCAGCTCCTACAGAGTGCTCATCGAGTCCCTGCTCAGTGAGTGATCACACACAGCGACACGCTCCCTTACTTCTAAACAAGGTCTTTATTATTTAGCCACAAACAACACAACACACAGACCACGAGCTGGGAACGCCATGAGAGATAAGGCAAGTTTCTGTGGATTGAAGCAGATTCATATTTTATTTAGTCTTTTAAAGCCCCAATATGTAACTTTTCAGTTTTGGTGCGCTTTGGCGCCAACATGTATACATATAGCTATTTAGCTACGGCCTATAGATATCATGGTAACAGTTGAATACTCATGCTAAACATCGGACTGCAGACATCAGTAATACAGTAATATTACTGTACCTTTTGAGTCGACATGGTTCTTTATCTTCTCAGGGCGTCTATGCCGGCTTCCTCACTGTTTATAACGAGCATAGTACTCACCAGTTCAACAGCAGCAGTGTCAGCTCGGTATCGGACTTACAGCCCACCATTACCTAAAGCTCTCTCCAACATGTAAAAGCCTCTCCAGTATTTACTCAAGTCCGGTCTCTTGTTCGGTCACACTCTCTTTATTCTTTATTTTATTCCTAGCTTCATCCGTCAACGTGCTTTTCCTGCATCAAGCAGTGCAGAGATGGGCTTACTCCTAATGTTTACAGTCTCTGCTAACTCCGAGGACTTGTAAACTAGTGCTGTAAAGCAGTACATACCTCTCGCGAGATGAGGGCGAGCTGCGGTCAGAAAGTTACATAGTGGAGTATTGAGGCAGCGAGCCGCTATGCGGACGTTGGAGAGACAACATTCTCCCTGTTGAACGTGATTACGCTGTTAGACGGACTTACAAGCAAATATTTTAAGGTTGAAAAGTTACATATTGGGGCTTCAATGTAGTTGTATCTGCAAACCCCCTTCATATAGTTTGATGTTTAAAGGGGGGGCGTATGCAGATCCAAACACTAAGCCTGCAAACAAATGGCCATCCTGCTTTTCTTGTGGATTTGAAATCGAGCGTCACTGAGACTTCATGAATCAGGGCGTCCAATACATAATACTGTTTATATACAGATGTTTTTTCTGCTCCTCTCCCATGAAGCTCCGACACTGAATATCTGAGCCGGTAGGGGGGAGGAAGGGGAAGGGGGGGGGGGGGGGGGGGGAGTTCATACATAGCGGCATGCTTTCATTAGTGGGAGTTTGAGTATGCAGTGCAGAGAGGGCGTTTGATTTCCACAATCCGTCAGCATCCTGAGACGACAAAGATTGTGTTGTTGAAGTCTTAAAGGTTTATCTGTGTGTGCAGTCGGAGCTGCTCTGTAGACAACGCAGGCTCATGGACCGCCGCCCGGTGACATTTACATTCTGCTGCGTGAGATAAAAGACGGGAAAGAAAGACGATGTCAGTATTTGTGTTTGTTACACTCATCTGACTCTCTGCTTGTCCAAGAGCTTGAATGCTTGAAGGAGAAACAAAAATACATTTAGTCTCCTCAATGTTTCCCTCAGGAGGTTTTTAGAGGGTTTTTTGTGTTTTGATGCCTTACCCCCAATTTCCATGTACTCCATATGCACCGCGGCCCGTCAGCTCGGCGCACTACGCCGTAGTTTGCTGCCACTCTAGTCAATGATTGGGTTTCCACAGAGTGCGCCGTGGTCCGTCTCCAGAGTGGGCCAGAGACGACACTACACTCTGCTCTGTTTCAAATACGCTGCGAGTCTATTTATGACAGAGCTCGCTGCAAGAACGCGTCAAGCTGTGACAGAATAGGTCAACCCAGACAAGAAAACACAGAGCGTCCGGTCAATTTCAAAATCAAACACAACATACAGACTCTGATTGTACATTCCATCACTTTATCAACATGGCGTCAAAACATGCACTGACTGAACAACAAATCATCCTCAGAGAGACAAAGCAACACGTTGTTAGCACGTTGTTCTCTTTATTTCCGCGTGATCTTGTAGTTCTCCTGTGATCTTGTAGTTCTCCTGTGATGTGTGTACAGCTGCTCATGGCTGCGTTCATGCTCCAGAAACGGATCCATTGGGTCAGGGTGCTGAGTATGTGAAAATTTGGGGCTTAATGCATCGGGGCTTCTAATACTATAATTAATGTGGCGATAGATGATCTCTGTACATTCTGATCTGTTCGTCCAGGAGACTCTTCAAACTCTTCATCCTTTCTTCTGTGTTGATGTTTTCTCGTTAATTTACCTCCTTTATTTTTTTAACTCTTGATTTTTTACGCCGTCTTTCTCGCAGCTGCAGCAGAAACATTTCTCTGGTCATTATTTTCCTGCTGCATCGTTATAAATCCTCATTTAGCTCCACTGTGTGCAGAGAACAATGCCTGTGAGCGGTGAACACACTCAGGGGGGCTGTGGTAATAATATGTGCCGTTAATGCGCACGTAATGACGGCTGACTTGTCGCAGAATGCCTGCAGGTGATAAACAACATTTCTATTGGGTGGATGCTGCTGCATTAAAAGACAATCTTACCTCCTGAACGTTGGACAACTGCAGTCTCATCAGGGTCACTCCATGCGTTTGATGTTATTTTGGTGTGTTTTCAACAAACGCTGAAAATTCTCTGTTTTCGTCTCTGTGTCGGTGCAGAGCTGCAGGCTGCCGAGAATCACAAGCATGGAAGTCATTTCAGTAATTACACAGCTCTTTGATGGAGGTGACTTCAGTGATATCTGACGGCTGAAGTTGGTAGAAGAATGCATCAAAGTACATCAAATAAAAAAAAATCATGAAGCTAATTTAAAGTAGGCAAAAGCCCGAGGGAGAGTGTGCAGAAGGCCTCAATATTTACCTTCAATTAAACATCTTCACACCATGAAGTTGTGCCATTCAGGTCATTGCACGATGGATCATTTTAAGTATTTTTTTCAGGTGTTTTCAAGTTTAAAGACAAGCTGTGTGAAGTGCATTTTAATTAATGTAGAAAACTGGTCATTTAATTGGATCACAAGCTAAAAAAACCCTGAAAGTTCTGCATCTAGAAGTTCTTTCGTCCTCATGTTGGCCTCCACTGGTAAAAGATATCTGATAACATTTCCTCCATACTTTAAATATGGGCTAAGCCAATCAAAAGAGGCCTTTTTCTGATGCTACCTTTTTGTTTCCCTGCAGATGGTCAGAAGCAGGAGACGAAGCTGAGCGGAGGAGCCAACAGACACTGCTTCAACAACCTGAAGCCCAACACGCAGTATAAGATCAGTGTGTACGCTCAGCTGCAGGACGGGACTGAAGGGCCCGCCGTCACCGCTAACGGGAAGACATGTACGTACACACACACACACACACACACACACACACACACACACACACACACACACACATAAACTCGTTAAGTTCCCATCACTAGATCCTCACTGTGGCCGAGCTGGTCTCGTCTCATCGTTTCACAGGATGCTGTTTGAGTTTGTCTGCTGACAACCGCTAACCGGTGTTACGGTCTATAAAGTGGCCATGTTAACTGGTGCCCTAAGCTCCTCATATCTGTCATCGCCATAGTAACAATAGACGTTGAAAACGGTAACAGTACGCCTCTTGGTTTGATTTTTCATTATTATTAGTTCAAATCATCAGATATGTTTGAATGAAAGCAAACAAAGTAATGAGTGACTGTGTTGTCAACAACCTCAGAGCTATTCAGCTCCACATGGTCACACAATGAACTGTAACACCGGCAGAGCGTGGTGAGCCCCTTTCGTTCATGTACTGACTCACAAGTTCGTTAAATTCTGTATTTTTGTGATTGGTGTCCGACTGCCGCCACAGATATTTGACTGATGACATCTTCATCTGCCTAAATGTTGATGAAATAGTTGACCTATGGCGTATACATGCCACAGTTTACTGTTTTCTTTCAGAGTTCTGCAGGTAAAAAAAACAAACAATGTGATCTTTACATAAACAAACACAAAAACAGGAAACTTAACAAACCTGATCAAAGGCAGGATACTCAAGTCCATGTAGACAGACTCAACGAAAGACGTTGACATAGTGGGAGTCAGACAAACACACATGCAGGCGCGCCCGCACGCCGCAACCACACAAAGCAGGGTTGTCTCTCTGTAATACACCACTGACACAGTACTCAGTACTTCACCTCCTCTGTACAATGTGCCAGCCCTCCTTTTAGAAATGAGACTCTACATGTGTCATAAAAACAATACCACACAAAAACACACACACACACTGAAGCTGCTGTCAGCTGTCAGCTGTCAGCGTGGAGAAAAGAAGCTGTGAGGACCATCACGTCTTTCTGAACAGAAAACATCTTTTATTCTCCGGAGAGCGCAGACAGCTGAATCCTCTCGCCTGTTTTTATTTTTATGCACCAACGGCTCCAAACACTAATCAGGACAGAGAGACACGCCGTCTGCACACCACGAGACGAGGCTTATTTTAGTTTCTTTATTATTCCAGCTTGTTTTCTGCAGACTGCACGTGGACAATCATCGGACCATCAGGTTAATTCACTCTCATTTTAACCACTCTTGTCACTCTTTGAATCCGACCCAAAGACTTCTGTAAAGTACCTCGGAAAGGTCACCGAGACTTACACATGTACAGGACAAAATCAGAAGAGATGAGAGGTACCTCTTTGTCCACAGGGGGCGCCAAAACTCAAGTGTCCTCAGAGTGTTTAAATAAACATCTTAAACCTTACAGCGTCGTTCCTGGCGGTTATTTGAAAGGTTCAATAGAAAGTCGTTACTGCGTTAACCTTCCAAAAACAAGTCTGGAGTCTCTGCAGGTCTGATATCGATATTGTACCAACATTAACAAAGTAAGGACAAAGACGGGATAAACATCTGAGCGTGGTCGAAGAAATGCAGCGTGGACGCTGAAACATATGGCGTGATGACGGCTGGCTTCAGAGAGAATACTCTCTCCCTCTGCAGGTCTCTGTTTACTTGAAGCTGCTCCCCTCTGTCCTCTATCTCTGCAGAAAGCCTCCGTGCTGATTTATTACTTTGTTTTGATGCATATGAACGCCGGAGCCATTTATCTAAACGACTCTCCCCATCGCTGCAGGCGGACGCCGCTGAGCTCTCCCTTCATACCATCAGCTGTAATTCCCCTCCTCAGGTCTCTGATTTAACACCTAAACAACACTGAATGAGAGGACTGCAGGTGTGTGTGTGTGTGCGGGGGGGGGCTTCACACACACACACACACACACACACAGAAAATAGAGACACAGAGTTGAAAGCAGAGACAGTGGGAGTTTGATTTAGATTGCAGCCAATAATTCCTGAAAATTACACGGGGGCTGAAATCACAGAGAGCGATCCGTACCTTATAAACTGTTCGTGTCTCTTCTTCTTCTCTTTTTTTTTTTTAAGGTAGATTTAATTCTGGGGTCTCCCAGCATGTGCTGATGGTTTTACGATAAGTGCGGTCATGATTGCAGGTTTTCATATCTGTGTGTGTGTGTGTGTGTGTGTGTGTGTGTGTGTGTGTGTGTGTGTGTGTGTGTGTGTGTGTGTGTGTGTGTGTGTGTGTGTGTGTGTGTGTGTGTGTGTGTGTGTGGTGTGTGTGTGTGTGTGTGTGTGTGTGTGTGTGTGTTTCTCGTTTAGTACCCGTCCCAACTCCAGCACCGACCAAACCCCCCACCACCACGCCGCTACCCACCATCCCCGCTGCCAAGGAAGGTAGGAGCTGATGTTTTAAGATATGATTACCTCTCTGTGTTACTGTCTCTGTTTTCTTTTCACCTGATGACACCTGGGAGGCTCGCAGTCTGATCCAGAATAAACTTGGAATCCATCCATCCATTATCACATAAACTGATATTAACGCCACAGAACAGAGGGTCATTTATTCCCGTCTTAAATGTTTTGAATATAAACCTGCTGCTCCATGCCTCCGTGTACCGTTTTTAATCCACATCCTCTCCGCTCTTCTTCTTCGATTCCTTCTCATCAACACTCAATTTCATCTATTGCTGCCTCGACATTTCTGTTACTGTTTCATATTCAACAAGAGATTTGTCTCAGCACTTCTTCCGTCAGAAGACTCGATTAGTGCGAGCTGCACGGAGAAGAGAATCATATTCTCCTAATGTGGTTTAGGAGAATATTCTCAGCAAACAAAGAATGAAAGCCGTCTGCAGATCAAACTGAACCTTTAATGGGATTTTATCAGAGGAGAAACGAAGAGCGTAGACTGTGTTTTAAATTTAATGAGTTTACAAGTTATTCAGTCGTTTGTTATCTTCAGATGTCTTCAAATCTAATTTTAAAAGCTGGTTTCTCTTTTTCTTCACTCAAAATCACGTTTGTTAAAAGGTCCAATCAGTAAGATATGTAGTGAGTGAAATGATAAAGTGGCTTTACTATATGATGTTGAAGTGCTGGCTTCTCTGACAACAATGTAGCAGCCAGTATGTCCTCCTTCTAACTTTAGATTCTGGTCCTGAATGCTCTGGATTTGTTTGGACCAGAGAAGGTAGACGGTTTTAAGGCACCCCCACACAGCTGTTTTGGACGCCCCTCGGTTTGCCAGACATGAGACCAGTTATCAGGTCAAACCAACAGGTGTTGCAGCGATGGAAGCGGGGAAGAGAACTGGTTCAGATAGAAGTGATTGTACCCGACCTAAAAAGCCTCTCCATGTTTCTAATAAGCTCCACGAGCAGAAACGTGCTCAAACTAGGATCAATATTGGAGATGCTTTTGAAAAATGGAGAGAGGTTAGAACACAGAAAGGTTTACAGACCGATGCAGAGCTGGATAAACACTGAAGCTTCAGTGTCCACCACATGGCAACCTGTGTGAGCATTGACTCTAGAGAGGAGGGGGTGGGGGGAGACAGCTCTCTACTATGTTTAGAATTTGGACTGCAGTACTCATTTTAAACACTAGGTGTCAGAGTTGCATACTGCTCTTTTAAATCTAGTGGGACGAGACAGAAAGCAAATCAATCAATGTGATAATTTCCCTTTAGTCATCACGCCGTTTCTCCCTCTCTCTCTCTCTTTTTCTGTTAGTCTGTAAGGCCGCTAAAGCCGACCTGGTCTTCCTGGTCGACGGATCCTGGAGTATCGGCGATGAGAACTTCCTGAAGATCATCCGCTTCCTGTACAGTACCACGGGAGCGTTAGACCGGATCGGCCCGGATGGCACACAGGTAACGCTGACAGGACGCAGAACAGCCACCGCAACTGTGGATGACATCGATCGAAATTCATGACGGACAACTTCAGAAATATAGAAACAAATATATTCCTTCCACACTTCCCTAGAAACAGTTTAAAAACAGAATGAAGAAAGACGACGTTAGGTCAGATGAAGGGCTGGGTTTGTCTCTGTTTACATGGGTTGATGTAGCGGTTTGTTTCTGTTGTTGGTTATTTATTGGTTCTCCTGTGGAGGCAGCTGAATGTGTAACGTCCGTGTGTTGGCGGTCTGACAGGTGGCCATCGCTCAGTTCAGTGACGACGCTCGCACCGAGTTCAAACTGAACTCTCACAGCGACAAAGAGCGACTGCTGGACGCCATAAACAAGATCACCTACAAGGGAGGAAACACCAAGACAGGTGAGAGCACGACAGACACAGACACACACAGACGCACGTTTCTTCGTACCCTGGTTAACGCATGTGCAGCAGCATTCTGAAGCTGCAGGGGTTATATGAATTTTTAGGGATTCCCTTTTTTTTTTAAAGATGTGTTTGAGGTGATAGAAAGATCATCTGGTTACGTTATTGATTTGGTCGGCAGGTTAGCACATAGACACAGAGAGATGAGATTATAAAGAATGCACTCAGCAGAACTCGTTGTTTCAATTGATCCAGTAATCAAAGCGTCCTCTGGTCGATGGGAACACTGGGAAACAGATTTTAATTGCATTGTGCAGAAGGAAGTGATAGAGTGCTCTTCCGCTTCCTGATGATTGTTTTTTACTGGCTGACATGAGCAGCGACGCTGGTCCACATCTGTTCTGTGCAGCCTCGTCCCTGCAGGAGAAACGAGCTGCTTTATAAACTCTGATTAATGACTTCAGCTCGGCCTGCTTCCCCACAGACCTCCTCTCTTCACACACACACACACACACACACACACTCTCAGAAACACACGCTCCTGTATTCGGTGCCCATCCCTACCGCTGAACAAATATTTAAAATGTATTTTTAAGTGTGCTGCTGGACCAATAACATTTCTCACTGTATGTCCAATCAGGTCGAGCCATCCAGCACGTGAAGGAGAACATCTTCACGGTGGAGGGAGGAGTCAGGAGGGGGATCCCAAACGTCCTCGTGGTCCTCACCGACGGCCGATCGCAGGACGACGTCAACAAGGTTTCGAAGGAGATGCAGATGGAAGGTGAGACGTTCTGTCGGAACTTAAATCCGCCGTCATTTAAGGTCATAACAAAGTTAACATTTCTTTAAACCCCCCTTTGTCGCCCCCTAAAGGTTACATCGTGTTTGCAATGGCTTCGCTGACGCTGACTACGGCGAGCTGGTGAGCATCGCCAGTAAACCCAGCGACAGACATGTGTTCTTCGTGGACGACCTGGACGCCTTCAAGAAGATCGAAGAGAAGCTGGTGACGTTCGTCTGCGAGGCGGCCACTGCCAGTGAGTCACCTCAGCTTTCCATACAGGTTGCTGATGAAGATGTGACCTGGAATGACATCATCCTGTGATGATCATGTCTATAAGCCCCTCTATTTCAGCCCTGCTCAGAACAGGCTCTTTCTGTGTCTGTACCTTTAAATGTAAATGAGCTGTGTTTGACCACGCCCCTCTCTGGAAGGGCTTGAGTGTCTCTGGCTTTCTCGCTCCATGTCCTATTGTTTACGGTGAGAAGGCAGACTCAGAGGGCAGAACAAACACCTAGCTGTGGGAGTGTCACCCACCTGGGGGAGGGGTTACTGCCCTTTGTGATGTCATGAAGGGAAAATCTCCAAACGGCCTGTTTGAGCACACATTTTCTGAAAAGTGGAGCAGGCAGAAGACGGAGAGGATTGACTTTTCTCATCATTGGGGGGTTTGTAGACAGACTAGAGACACACATTAGAGTTAGAGAAACATTGGGAAATTGATTTTGTGTTATGTATGGTAGGTATGTTTAAATGTGATTCTTTAAAGAGAGATGTAAATGGGGTTATAAAACAGATGTGTCGCTCAGATCATATGATGCCTCTAAGTCTCAGTACCTTTAATATCGACTTTGATAACACGATTCTGGAGTATTTCAGTCTTTCTTCTTAACCTCAAATCTTTTCTCTCCTTCCTCAGCGTGTCCGTCCGTACCAATGAGCGGCAGCACCACACCAGGTACAGCATCACTCACCTGTTTCTGTTTCTGTACCTGTGCTCCAAGTATCTAAAAATCAACCAGGAAGAAGCAGCAGAACACAAAGTCTGTCACAGGAGGACTGCTTTCTCATGAGCTCACACTTTTTAGTCTTAGTACACACACACACACACACACACACACACACACACACTCAACCTCCCTGTGTGTGTAGATACGTATGTTTATAAAAACAACGGCCATGATGTTTTCTTGTTTCCCAGATATATTCTGCTCTGTGTACTAAGTTAAACAGTCTCCGTTGTTCAGGCTCTCTTCAGTTATTTATTCCTAATGTAAATGTATTCCCCTCTGTGCTCAGGTTTCCGTATGATGGAGCTGTTCGGGCTGATGGAGAATCGCTACAGCAGCGTCTCTGGAGTTTCCATGGTGCCCGGCACCTTCAACACCTTCCCCTGTTTCCACCTGCACAGTGACGCTCTCCTGGTCCAGCCAACCAGGTAATAGCTGCTCGAGTCTCCCTCACATGTTCCAGAACTTGTTTAATCAGTGATTGATTGCAGACGGCTGCTCTCATAGACGTCAGCGTGTGTTATCAAAGGATGAACGAGCAGTGAATTACTTCTACAGATGAGATCTGAAGCTGAGTATCGTGTCATGTTTGGGTTGTGACTCTCAGGTTCATCCACCCTGAAGGGCTGCCCTCGGACTACACCATCACCCTGCTGTTCAGATTGCTGCCCGACACTCCCGAGGAGCCATTTGCCGTCTGGGAGATCCTCAACAAGAACAACGAGCCGCTGGTGGGAGTCATCCTGGACAGTGAGTTTGAATTATTGATTGATTTCTGTCCTCTCAGTAAAAAGGATGCAGAACTTTAGGACACACACTTATTAAACAGATTCATAAATAAAGGAGTCTGACAAGGCACCGTTCATTTTACAGACTCTTTGTTGACATGTTTTTTTGTCTCTTGCAGACGGAGGGAAGACTCTGACGTTCTTCAACAACGACTACAAAGGACAGTTTCAGACAGTCACATTCGAAGGGCCGGAAATCAAAAAGCTTTTCTACGGCAGCTTCCACAAGGTCAGAAACACTTCAGTCTTCTTTTCTGACTGTTTACCGACTGATTAATGACATAAATACTGAGCTTAAAAAAAACACTCAGAAGTATTGGACGAAGCAGCAGAGTCCTCTATACGACCCTATAATGAAAATATGTGTCTTTCTATCAGTGCTACGTGTAGTTGAACAGAATCACAATCTGAACTAAAGAGTGGGGAAGAACATACCAGAGAACAGGAAACATAATGCAGCAGGTTCATTAGAGCACGGAGATCGTAGAGATGGCGTGCAGACAGTCTATGGTCGTGCAGCGATCACAGGGAATAAACGTCACCACCCCCTCCCACTCGCTCCAGGTGAATTCTCCTGATTATATCCTTCTGCATTCTCTTATCAGCTCACTCTGACTTTCTGCAGAAAAAAACAAGAAGGCTGGAGGAGAAACTCCGGGTGAAGAGAGAAACACTCAGCTGTTTGTGTTCACACATGACGCTCAGCACGAAGACTTGAGGAGTTTTTCAAGAGGAGCTGCATGTGTGAACATTATAAAAAAAAAAACAAGGCAGGAAACAAAGAAATCTCCACTCAAGGCTCGTTCACACTCGCTCAAAACACTTGGAAAAACTCCTGAGGTTCTCGGGTTGAGCTGCAAACAGACGATTAATCCACAAGTTTATTTTTTACTGAGTTGTCCATCCGTACTTCCTCTCTTCCTTTCTCTTTTCTGAACCTGAGCTGAGCAGAGAGACAGCAGACTGTGTCATGCCCTGATCCTGAACCAGGACTCACTGACTGATCTGCTCTCACTTCCGTCTGCTTGCTGTCAGCACAGCTTACCCTGCTTACCTCTCCACCTTTTGTTCAACGCGCTGTGTGTGTGTGTGTGTGTGTGTGTGTGTGTGTGTGTGTGTGTGTGTGTGTGTGTGTGTGTGTGTGTGTGTGTGTGTGTGTGTGTGTGTGTGTGTGTGTGTGTGTGTGTGTGTGTGTGTGTGTGTGTGTGTGTGTGTGGTGTGTGTGTGTGTGTGTGTGTGTGTGTGTGTGTGTGTGTGTGTGTGTGTGTGTGTATACATCATTTAATCCTAAAGGACCAGTACAGTACCTGCAGTTCCTACCTGAACGTCTCTCTGACATTCGTATAAGTTCATGTGATTATGGATCAGAGGGTGTAGCTTATCTCCGTAGAGGCGCCTAACTTTGTCCTGTCTTTACTTTATTGAAGTCGGCAGTTCCTTTTGGGTCGCAAAAGTTCAGCTTTTCTGCGGCTTTTCCACAGTCCTTATATAAACGCTGAATGTTCCCGGCTGTCTGTGTTTCTTAATTCCTGAAAAGCTGATATCTCGGCAATATGACAAGAGTGACAAAGTCCTTTCATTGAGGTTTTAAGACAGAGTCGCTTCACAAGTCACACTCCACAGGATTAAAGTTACAGTATGCAGGGTCATAAGACTTCTGAAGTCAATTTAAATGTGCACAGTTTGTCTTTGAAACACACACACACAAACACACACATGTGAATGCAGTAGACAGAGTGACTATCGTAGATACAGCAGCTTTAAATCTGGATGACCTGTTAAAAATAAGCCACCATGACTTCATTGTATTCTAACCCTGATACTTTTGGATACATTTAGCTGAAAACTTGGCTGCCAGGGCAGCTCTGAAACTTTATTTCCTTGTAGACCTCAGGCCTCAAATTTCTTACCAGATTAATTAACCGCAATTCACATATTTTATGTTTTACACACCATCATAATCACAGAGTTCCACAAGGTTCTGTGCTTGGACTGCTTCTTTTCACCTTAAATGTGCTTCTTTTAGCTAATATTATGAGGAATCACATCGTTACACAGATGGTACTCGATTATACATCTCAATTAGTTATCTTTAAGTTGGTTTTAACTTTATTCATCAGATTAAAATCAGTTTGACTGATAGTACATGTCCTGTTGATTTTATACAGGAGAGTTAATTCACACTGAAACAATAATACATCGACACAGTTTCTCTCATTGCTGACAAAGTTCTTCTCGGTTTGAAAAATCACTTTTAGAGCAGATTTCAGAGCAGCTGTGAACTTTCACTGTGACTGAGCAAACTCACGATCAACCCAGACAGAAAATCATAATTGCTGCGTCCTCAACTTTTACTGATGCTGCTTCTAAACGTTGTGGCTGTTTTATGGAAAGAAGCAGTTTCAAAATAAAGTTTCATTTTGTCTGTAAGCTGTTTAGGTAGAATAAACGTTCCCTCTTTAAGAGCTCTGAGGAGTAAATTATAACAGTAAAGACGATGAAACTCAAAGGGTTATGATAAACACCACCAGACAACAAATCTATTAACACTACTGATGAATGGATGGATGATTGGAAGGATGGATAAGTTGATGGATGGTTAGATGGATATATTGATGGATGGATGAGTTGATGGGTGGATGAGTTGATGGATGGATGGATATATTGATGGATGGATGAATGGATGGATGGGTGGATGAACGAGTTGAAAGATGGATTGATGAGTTGATGGATGGATTAGTTGATGGATGGATGGATAAGTTGATGGATAGATATATTGATGGATGGATGGATGAGTTGATGGATGGATGGATGGATATATTGATGGATGGATGGATGGATGGATGAATTGATGGATGGATGGATGGATGGATGAGTTGATGGATGGATGGATGGATATATTGATGGATGATGGATGGATGAATTGATGGATGGATGGGTGGATGAAAGAGTTGATGGATGAGTTGATGGATGGATTAGTTGATGGATGGATGGAAATATTTATGGATTGATTGATGGACAGAAGGATGGATTGATTAACTGAAGGACATCTGATGATGGTGATCTCAGCATTCCTGTGGATGAAGCTACCAAAACACGTTTACACTTCAAGCATAAAAGAAGATTTTTTATTGACTCACAGCGAACTTAAAGCTGTAAGTTCACAGCTTTGAGGAATATTGAGTGTTTGAATCACTTCATAAACTGTCATAGCTATGCAGATGATACTCGACTGTACGTATCAATGATTCGTTGGAGTGTTTAAAAATGCTCTGAGAATCACAATGAGCAGAAAATACTTTTTAATGGAAAGTCAGAACCTTTAGTTTAAAGTCAAGGAAAAATGAAACTGCCCAGCAAAGTTAGGTCTTCTCTGACGGACTCAGATTTGAATGAAACTCACTGATGCAGCGTTGGGAAGGCGCTCTTTGTCTAAACCCCACTGTATGTGAAACAGTATAATTTTGTAGACTGCAATCATCTGTGGATGCTGAACAGTAATTTATTTCCACCAAATGAAAATAACATGCATTATATTTTTCCTCTGATCTCTCTCTCTCTCTCTCTCTGAAACTCAAAACTCTTTCGAGAGCTCCGAAACAGCTTTTGAGAACAGTGAAATGAAAACTTTTAATTTCATGTCCAAGAAGAAACATGGGGTGTATTTTCTTACTTTGTCTCATAAGTATTGCTTACACATCAGCACTCAGAAATGCAGAATCTAAATTACAGTGCAGTGACTTTAATGTTTACAGTCTTCCTTTGAGCTCTGTGTGGTTTTGAATATCCAAACAGCCTTTTCAACATTCTGTGAATTTAATTGCAACGTAAAGAAAATTAAGATTTAAAGAAAACAAGAAAGCATGTCTGATCTGTGTAGCACAAAAAAGCACTTCCACTGCAGCAATAAAAGTGAAAACACATTCACATTTACTTTTATCTGCTCACAAGTTGCCAGAATTTTAGCTATACATAGCTCCAGGACTTAACCACAGGCACGCAGCTGCACTGTGCGCGCATCCTGGCAGTCTTCAGTTCTGTCCACACTTCTTACCAGTTTCTCCTGGCTTGACTGATGAAAACCAAAAGTTTGGCTGATAATAACAACGCTTCCTTCCTGGAGTGAGCCACAAAGAGCAGCTCGTCCAGTTTAAAAACACTCCTCTCCGTCATGCGTAATGGGCCAGCCTGTCTCACCACATCCAGAACTCTGTGTAGTTTGCGGACACCGGCGTTAAGCCTGATACATCTCCCGACTTATTTTACCTCTGATTATGGTAAAAACAGTAATTTAATAATAATATTAACTGATTTTATTTACAGATGGTTCATTTTTAGGTCACCCAGATGTGAAAGTGTTGTGCAGATCACTTTTCAGTTTAAACACTTCTAGTAGCCTGCTGTTGCGCCTATGTAATAAATACTGAAAATGTCCTTCTTATCCAAAAACGATATCACGCACAGGCTGTCCGATCATACTGTGGTCTGTTGGTTTAACTGCGGAGAAGCGCTGAAATTCTTCCTTGAATTACGTACGGAGATGGCAGAGATTCATGGCGCATACAAATCAGTGACAGAGTTAGATCACGATAGTGTGGACACGTAGCAGAACGGACTGCCAGTCTCTTATTTAAAGTTGTTTAACTGAGTTTACTTAGTTGACAAAGTGGAATTCAACACGGAGCTGATCAGACTGCGCAACGCTGAAGCGCACGTCTGTTCGTTTGGAAACATTGTATCATTTTATAATGCCTTGCACTAAAATACCCAAAGATGACATCATATTTGCGTCACAGACACTCTGAAACATATTCATGTGAGCAGGTTCTGTCTGTGATGAACCTTAAAGAGTGCAAACTGTGCTGTGGTCTGACACCTACACATCTCTCTCTCTCTCTCTCTCTCTCTCACTGTACTCTGTATTATTAATGCACTGATCCCAGGGCAGGTAGAATAACTCCTGTGTCAAGGTTTCTATAACCTTGAATAGCAATATTAAAAAATAAAGTACAGTTTGCAATGACAGAGATTATGTGTTTTAAATCTGCAACCTGCTGTCTTATAAGTTCATCTTTAGTGAATGCCACATTTAAAAATAAATAGATATTTTTATCTTATGATGCAAGGATAGCATAATAATTTGTGACTGTCCTGTTTTGTTACTGTTAACATAAAGTTCTCGATAAAAGTAGTTAATTTAGATTTTAAAATAATCATACAGCAGCCTATATATGCATGTTTAGAGGCAAAATTAGTCCGGCCCATTTGAGGTCTCATTGGAACAAATCCGGCCCGACCCAATATGAGTTTGACACCCCTGATCTACAGGGAGCCTAAAGGGACAAAATAACACAATAAAAAATAATGAATGCATTCATTACAGACGTTAGTTAATCGTGAAGTCCTATTTTCTATCTTTAAAATGCTTTGTTGACCATATTTAGCTTTGTATAATTAAATGGGCATTCCTGAACAAACCTGATTTTTTTTTTTACTTTGAGTTGGACAAAGTAATAAGTTACTCATCAGGTCATATGTTTGAAGTTGCTTTTTAAAATTTTCTCACAGTTAGTTCCTGTAATCCGGTCAGAATCAGCCCTCTGCTGGGTTCAGAATAGATCAGATTTGTTGCTTTAAATCACTTTAGATCCAGCGTGTCCAAAGTGTCAGATTGAATTTGGAGGGAAATCTGCTCGTTAACTTTACAGCATGAATCAGGTAGAGGGCGCTGTTTAACCGCAGCATGTAGAGCTGAAACCCTGTACAGGCTGCAGATACTAAATCTGGTAAAGCATCGATCCTTCTGTGGAAGGTCAGTCTAAAAAAAGGTCCAAACTGGATCATGCAGATGCAACTGATCTAAAATGAAGAGGATTGGATTTATTTTCACGCCTTAGATTCTGCTTGAAAGATAGTAAACTACTGAACTGGTCGGCTGTTTGTTCAGGTGATTTTTAGTGCATCTCCTCAGGTCTTAAAGCTCAAAACACAAAAGTTTAAAGAAGACCTGAAATTATTGAGTCTGATGTTTTCTCTCCTGCAGCTTCACATTGCAATCAGCAAGACGAGCGCTAAGGTGTTGATCGACTGCAAGATGGTGGCCGAGAAGAACATCAACGCAGCGGGTAACATCACGACTGACGGCACGGAGGTTCTGGGCAGGATGGTCCGCTCCAGAGATAACAAGGACAACTCTGCGCCGGTGAGGACAACACGTGCACGGACATACCCACACTAAAACATACATAAGCACATGCACGCTCAGTGCAGAGGGCCACACGACGCTATGATCCCAATAACACGTTAGCTGATAAAACTAGTTCACACAATCTTCAGGAGCCCAGAGAGAGACAGCGCCCTCCTTTTCTTCTTCTTCCTTTTCTGCCATAAAACTTTGTGCATCCTGGAATGGTTCTACTCCAACAGAACGGGTATAACAGTAAGCTTCACTGGGCCCGCTTATGTTGGGAACATTTAATAAAAAGGTTCATATCATTTTAAGGCTACTTTTTACTGAAGCAACAATAAATAAAATCAGTGTTTTTTTTGTTACTTTTTTTTTGTTGTTGTTGGCGGCCTGACACGCCAAGTAGACTGCAAAGAACTAGTGGTGAGGAATGCTGACTTTTGCGTCACCTTTTGTCTTGGCCAAAAAGCTGCACGGGAACACACCGCAAAGACTACAGTTGACAGCCAACCACCACGTACGTTCTGCTCATGCGTGAAAGGAAATACCTCTCCATGCCAGCAGGCGGCGGTAGTCCGTTGTTATGATACGAGAAGACAATTTTCACACCGCTGTCGGTTACCACTCGTATCATTTGAAGCCTACTAATGGAGAATAATAACCTGTGTCGAGAGCTGGAGATAAATGAAACCTCCCAACAGCCAATCAGAGACTTCACTCTTGCGGGAAAAAAAAGGCTGATGGGTAGCGATGGAGCCAGACACACCGCAAAACCTAGGGCGACGACAGCCAACCTGTCCAACTAGGACCAACGGCTGATGATCTCCCTGGTGTGTCAGAGCCTTAAGAGAATATTACCGTAAAATCCGGTGTATAAGACGGTCTTTTAATACCTATTTTTTCATCTTAAAAGTTGGTTGCGTCTTATACACCGGTGTGACCAATATACCAGTATAAAATACGGAAACACGCGCCGTCATTACAACAGGTGCAGCAGCCCCTATCACTGCGACCTGACGTGATTAAAGACCCATCCCCATTCATTGTGTATTGAAATCTGAGTGCACGCTATGCAAGGAAAGACGGCGACACAGACCAGGCTGGCTGCGCGACTTTTTCCACATATTTTCTTCCTCACGAGGTCATAATCATGCACTTACAGAAAACAGTGGTATATTGTTCCGTAAATAAACCTTGTGGAGTGCTCTTTTGATTGAAAGAGTCCTATATTAAAGTTAAAGAGTGACCAGCGGAGTCGGGCAGCGCAGCTCGCAAGCTAGGAGTCCGTTACTCACTTTCCCTGCAGCAGGCTGAGAGCTCAACTACCGTACTGTAGCTAATAGGAGCGCAAACTCCCCAACATGAAAAAAGACGGGACATTAAGAGCGACACAGCTGCAAAGAAACTGCACGTTCTAGACATCGCTGAACACAATATAAATCGTCATGCAGGAAAACAGTTTAAACTTTTTTTCTCTCGAAGAGACCTTCAGAACAGGGTGCGTCTTATATACCGGTGCAACTTATATTCTGGATTTTACGGTAAGTTGTAAAATAAGATGTGGTCATTGTCGCTTAAAATTAGGAAGGAACATGTTTTCTGTTTCTGTTTTCTGCTAACCTCCTTGGCCCCTCCCCATGCGACTCGGCCCCATGCGACTCTTTCCCCTTTATCTCTCTTTATCCCCCCTCATGGGCGGGCTTGTTGTCGATTAAAATGATTATCATCAGAATTTGAAGCTACATGTAAATGCAGGTAAATTTTACAGGAGTAACAAATAATAACCTCTTGATCAGATGTGATGCTGCCACAGAGGTTTTCTCATGTCTGATAATCTTCATCAAAGTCACTTCCTTCAGCAGTTTTGTGACGCACACAAATCAATCTGCAGCCTCTCGTCCAGAAATAGCACAGAGACTGACTCAGCGTCTGATTGGATGGATCTCCCTTTGAAGAGAGAATCTCTTTTTTTAATTTGCTGACGCAGTTGGGAGAAAACTGAGCAGTCACAGAATAAAATAAAACACAGGTCGGGATATCAGCCTTTAAAGAGGTCTTTAACCCAGCTGCTAATCCTGATTTAACATGTTATAACCTCAGAGCAGAACGCAGATCCTCACTGTTAATGTTCAAACACATCCAGGAGCAGCTCGATTTGTTCTTTTTAGGACTTCAGTATTGATTTTTATGCAACCTCATGTCATGGATCTCGAGACCCCTTGACTGATAATCTCATTCGGTTTCCAAGAAGTCCCCACACCTCGATAGACAAACTGAAAATACACCTGTGCAGGATCAAAGGGAAGCTGTAAAGTGAAGGTAATCTTTTTTTTTTAGTATAACAAAGACAGGATTATAATTTTTTTAGCCTTTGGAACATCCAATGATTTGTTCCAGTTTATCGTAATCCCAACAATTCAAATTCTACTCTGGTTTTGATTAAAATGCCCCCTGCTGATTTCCTTTAAATTTGTTTTTCAACACATCTTAACTTTCCCTCTTTTCAGTCCAAATGAAAAAGGATGACACTGTAGATCCAACCCAAAAAACTTCATGCATCACTTAGTTTATCCTTTTAGTTATGGAAGATCAGAAGAATATGTTGTGAAGGATTTATCCACAGCGTGCAGACTGCAGCTGATTCTTCTGTGGACTTGCATAACAAATTATTTTAATTTACTTTTTCAAACTTTTTGTTTTGTCATGCAAAAAGGGGTGAATAACTTTACTATAGCAAACGGAAGCTCACCACATATTAGTTAACTAATTAGAAAACTAAATGAGAGCTCGCTCCCTACCAACCTGCTAGTCTACTCTTTCCTAGTGGAAGGAGCTATGTAAAATTAGCCCTCTAACACCTATTTTGGAGGACGGATGAACGGATAATCGGATAATCGGATAACGGATAATCACAGCCCCAGGATTATCTGCCTAACATTCATTTCTAGAATAATTAGATTCAAGGATAACCCCTGGTATAGGACTCTAGATTACCCCCCAGAGAGGGAATAACTGTGAACTCCCCCCGCTAGGATGTTAGGTGTGTATGAAGTGTGTAATATAAATCAGTTAAGACAAGTGTGCCGTGGTGTGACTGCTCAAAACTTAACTTCCGAGGTACACAGGGTCCTTAAGGGGGACTTCCAGTCTTTATGGTGTAAATGATTTCAGTCAGAAAATGATTTCAAAAAAGTTTCCAAAAATGTATTAAAAAATTCCAAATTATATTCTAAATGCAAATACAAAACAGTAAAAGTAAAAATAGAAAAATAGAAAAGAAAAGCGAAACACAAAGACCAAAGTCTAAAGCCGAGAGTGTAGACACTTGAGGTTTTAAAAGATCTTGGTCTCAGAGATGAAGTCCCAAAATGGGATTTCAAAAGTCAGAGTGACGTGATTCATTTAGCAAAGCAAAAAAGAACCTGGATCAGCTTTTACACAGCGTTTTTCTAGCCAAACCGTCTCTTTTTTTCAAGATTCTGTGAAACCTCAACAATGCAGATTTGCAGAAACGTGATACATACACATGTATTTAACAAAGTTCAACCAAGTTCATATGGGGTCTTGATGTCTAAGTTCATATGTGTTTTTAGCTTGAAGACCATGAACCAGGCAGAAACGCTATACGCCTACGAGCTCCTGACCTCACTGGTGCGTAGGCACCACGAGTGTGTGTAAGTTTAACAGGAAATGTTGAAACCAGAAAAAAGTTATGACTTTATGACATATGTATTAAATCATAAAATAATTAAATGATAATAAAAGAAAAAGACAAAAACAAATTCAACAACTGCATAACTCTTTCTGATCTTTCAACAGTACGAAACAAAAATTAAAATCTGTGGGAATACATTTAAATCATGTTTTTTTCTTAAAGGAGCAGTATGTAACTCTGACTCCTAGTGTTTAAAATAGGTACTGCAGTCCAAATTCAAAACATTGTAGGGAGCTGTCTCCCCCCGCCCCCTCCTCTCTAGAGTCGATGCTCACGCAGGTTGCCATGTGGTGGACACTGAAGCTTCAGTGTTTAGCCAGCTCTGCATCGGTCTGTAAACCTTTCTGTGTTCTAACCTCTCTCCATTTTTCAAAAGCATCTCCAATATTGATCCTAGTTTGAGCACGTTTCTGCTCGTGGAGCTTATTAGAAACATGCAGAGGCTTTTCAGGTCGGGTACAATCACTTCTATCTGAACCAGTTCTCTAGACCGCTTCCATCACTGCAACACCTGTTGGTTTGACCTGATAACTGCTCTCATATCTGGCAAACCGAGGGGCGTCCAAAATGGCCGTGGGGGGGTGCCTTAAAACCGTCTACCTTCTCTGGTCCAAACAAATTTAGAGCATTCAGGACTGGAGTAGGCAGGTAGGTTTTGAGGAAACTGTTTTGAGGTATTTGTGGGTAAGTTTGCTTGTTGGAGTGAGTCAGCTTCCTTTTCCACACACGATAATCAGGAAGAGGTGAGTGACAAAATGACCAAAGAGGGTGACGCTGAATAAAGACAAGAGAAATAAATGTACTAGCATCAACAAATAAAAATGAGGTAAATAAAAAAAAAGTACCATTAGTAAAGTATCTGACTGTTAAAGGTTTAGTTTGGTATTTTTACATAATTTATGGTTTTGTGTTATTGAAAATGTTGGTTTGTTTTTCTTTCTTCTGTAGTTCGAGCTTCAGATCTTCGACATCGTCTGCAGCACCTCGTGGGCCAACAGAGACAAGTGCTGTGAACTTCCTGGTCTGGTGAGGTTCAGAGTTTATTTTTCCAATTACGTCTCTGTGACCCGGTTTACTCCAGTGTCTGCTAACACACACACACACACACACACACACACACACACACACACACACACACACAACAACATTTTAATATTATTATAAAACATACCTCATTACTTCAGATGTTACAAGTCTTTTAACCGAACGCTTAGCTGTTCATAGTTTGTAATTTCTAATCATCTCATCCAGGTGTGTATGTGTGCTGAGCGGGATGAATAAACAGTCTCTGCAGTTACGATAACATCACGTTACTCATGAACACGTATTATTTTATATTTTATCCATGTCACCAGAGGAGCTGAAAATCATGATTTAAATGAAGGCAATTAAAGGTTTTACCAGCGCAACTTTTATTTTTGGTTTCTTTTTAAACCCATACCCGATGCTCTGCCTAGAATAAACAATAATATACAGTTTGTACCTCACGTTTAGAGTGCAGGGAATAAATGAACCAACTTACAGCCTGACAGCATGCAAAGCGAGCGAGCGTCAGGGACAAAATCGGCTTAGTTCTAATGTTTCCTTTTGGGAGTGTCCTGACTTCCCACCAGAGACCCAGTGCAACGTGGTGCGCCGCTTTTACCGCGACGCCGATTGTATTTTCCTCTCTAACGCTCATGTAGACTTATAGAAAGGGGAGGTAGTGGTGCATTAGTAATATCCTCATCCATGTTGAAATGTTGTACTTTGACCTGTGTCAACACGGATGATAAAATGTGTTCGGCTCAAGAGAGCCGTTTATTGACGAGTCTCTTGAGTGTTGTGATTTGAGGCGACAGCTCGTCAATAGAAAGCACCACACATCTGTTTGTCCTCCTTCAAAATAAAAGCACCATACTGTTTGCAGTGTTATAAAAAAAGAATGCTTTTAGTTTTATTTGGAACACATAACATAATTGCACTTAAGCCTCTTGTGGCCTCAATTAGTATTACAGCACTTGTATCGTAAGACAGAAAATGTATCTACGAAACCTTAATTTACTCGTCCTGAAGTCACAAACAAAAGACAAAGTGATGTTTAATCGTGTAAATTCTTTTATTCTCTTATTTGTGTGTGAGTGATCTTTATTAAAGATGTTGTTCAATGTTAAAACAATCAACAAACAAATGGACATTAGAAGTTAACTATGAGGGTTGTTGACCTACAGGTATACAGACAGACAGTTTAATTGTACATAAATAATAATTCTTAATTATCATATATAAGGCCGGCTTGATGAGTTATTTTCCAACAAAAATTTACTTTTAAACTTGAAAACTCAAGAAAACAATTTTTGTTCGGCATGTTTAAACAGAATTTAAATAATTGCTTTAATGCACTTTTATTTTATTCAAATTTTCTCCATGTGGGCATTTTATTATTTGTGGTATGGGAAGAGATGACATCAAATAAGGAAGCATTATTATTTTATTAGTGGCTTGAAATACAAAAACAGTGACACGTGGGAAATGATGGTTATCCATATTTTACACTCGTTACACTTTAATTTGCATGCTTCATTAAATTAATTATTAATCCATTTCATTCTTTTTTCTTTTTCTGCGTCTTCACCTCATCTTCATCGTGCTGTGATCATCCAGAGGAAGGAGGCAGACTGCCCAGCCATGCCCAAAGCCTGCACCTGCACCCAGGACAGCAAAGGCCCCGCCGGCACTCCTGGACCTCCAGTGAGCCAAACACACATCAAATACACACTCATCCATCTGATCAGACCACAAGGAAGTCCCTGATTTTCAGAGACGATAACTACATTTTGATCATTCTGCAAAGGAACACATAGGAAGTTTGAGTTTTCAGATTTGTCTTCAAATGTTGATTACATTTTTTTTAAACAAGTTTCCAGGAAAGCTCGGACAATCTTGAATTATGTCTACGTCTCAGAAAGACATTGCTGTAGTGAAAATGACTTTTTGTTTACTTCAATAACTTTCTTTGTTTCATTCAATACATTTACTTTACTTTTTGTTTCACACAGGGAGGCCCTGGAATCAGGGGTGCCAGAGGGGATCGGGGAGAGCCGGGCCCGGTGGTGAGTTTTGTTGATTTTAAAATAGATACCCAGACATGATGTCGACACGTGCTTCTTTTTAAAAAACTTGATCTGAGAAAGGACAGCAGTCCGAAAGGCCACTGAGGTTCGGACTAAACAGGAACTGTATCTTGATGAACTTTGTATCTGGCTCTTCACCGCTGATCTGTGATCTATGCAGCGCTGATCTGTGCGCCACTGAGCCTCTTTCCTCTACTCTCATCTAACATTGTTTTTAAAATTACTTGAAATTTTAATCACCCCGGAACAAAGAGCAGGTACTCAGCAGTTTGACGTTAAGCTTACATCATATCTACTTCCAATAAACTGCAGAAGCCCTAGCACACTGCCCTCTCAACCTGATCACACTCTCACTTATCTACATCGTCTTAGAAAAGAGACCCGTTTGCTAAACGGCAATTGAACAAATATTTTCTTTTTATTGCATGTTTAAAATATTGATAAAATCCTAAATAAAAGTTCCATAAAACATCACACTTTGAAAAAAAACACAATACATTTGTCTTCATGAATTTGTTTGGATTGAAAATATAGTTGCAATTGTTATTTTTATGCAAAACAGAAAAAATAATCTCAGAAAACAGAAACAACAAAATCTAATAAAAACACTCAGGTAAAAATACAAAAACATTATTTCTTAAAGCTTATCATCACACAAGAATGAAGAAAATACAAAACTGCACGACATAAAAACTGATCCACAAACATCTAAGTCTGTGTTGATTCCATTAACAAAAAATCTGACACAAAAAAATCAGCAATAACCTTTTTTTGAGACGATGAGGAGCTATAAATTGGATCCATGAATCCGACCTGTCTATTCTCGATTAGTAAAATGTTTTTAACCCAAATACCAATTAACCCAAATACCAATCGTTTTATTTTAACGTCAGCGTGCATATTTCACTTCGGCAGGCAAAGACATGTAAAGGAGATTTAAATATCAGGAAAGAAACAAACTGTTGGTGCACAATTCAGAGCATTATGTGTGAGTGTATAAAGAACGATCAAATCCTCACAGCGCACAAAGATCCCAGCACATATCAGGAGATACAGCAGCCCCAGAACGCTCGCAGTGACCCCGAAATGGCGTCTTCTGTGTTCAGTGAGCGGTCCTAAAAATACAAAGAACATCATCAAATGTCTCCATAAACCGTGCAGTTCATCTCTGTCCTTCAGATATTTACCAAAAATAACTTTGATGGAAAATGTGGTGTTCTCTTGTAAAATAAAAAAAAACACCAAAGCAATCAGATAAAAAGCCAACAGCGGAGCAGCTGACCTCCGTGGCGTGGCGGAGGGGTCTCACTGGCATCAGCAACGCTTTCTTCCAGAATCTCCTCGTTCTCCTCGTTCTCGTAGACCTCCACTCTGCTCTCCTCTGTTCCTCCCGCGTCCTGAAGTGTCTCATCTGCAGCTTGAATATCTGAGTTCATCTTGAACGAAGTTGAAATGAAGTGACCCTGTCCTTAACTGTTTGTTTCAGTCAGGCGGCTTTTCAGTGTGAGCAACGGGGAAGTACAAAAAAGGTCAAAGCTGCAGATTTCTCAGAACCATCTGATAAACTAACAAGCAAGCAGTTTTCGGAAAACTTCTTTTTTTTTTTTTATTAGAAACGGGCGTTGTAAAATGTTCCAAGATTTGAACAAGTGCAAATGGAAGAAATAAAAAAATTGAAATTGAAATAAAGAGCACCCACCTGTAGACGAAACCTTTCTTACAAAATATGAATCAAGTCCAGTTTAACATTTAATGTGAACTTTATTGAGACTGCAGCATCAAACAAATCAGAAGCGCTCTGCAGAGAAACATGTGCACACAGTCGTTAATGATCCTTCATCCTGGATTTAAAATCCTTCAAGCCGACTGAACGCTGGAGTTTAAGGCGACTCAGACCGACATGATGGAACAAAAACACTAAAAGCCAAAGAGAGCGAGTTCATGGAGAGACAAACATGATAATGCCTAGAGCAGCTGAACATTTATGATATTAATATCAACAACAGACACATTTGATGTATTGCTCTAGTATCTGGACACACATTAACACGTGTTGTAGAAGTTGTTGGTTAGCTTTGGTAACTTCCCCTCTCCTCAACACGCTTACATACACACATTCATTTGGGCAGGTGTGCAGTGAATAGCGGTAGGCGACTGTCTGCACGGTGTTTCCCTCACAGACTATATCTGGGCAGACCCAAAATGTGAGACTCTGACACCAAGAAGCTTTGGACATAAACATGGGGACAGAATATTTAAATCCATTCCATAACCGTTAGTGAGGTCACCAGGAAAGAATCACCGTTACATGTCAGTCTCTGTTGATTGGTTTCTCACATATCCATCTTCTCGAGCCGTTGTTGGTTTGGTTCATCTTTCCTCCCTGATTGATGTAAACTTTGGACCCTTCCACAGGTTCCACATTGATGTCTTTATCCCAGAAGCTGTAGACAGAGACGAGTATTGAACAGTGTTAGAGCCTCAAAATAAAACCATTTTTATAAGAAGATGGATGCAGTTATTTTTAATATAAAGTACTCTGGAAACAATCACAATTTAAAGGCTTAATACACTTAAATGTAATAGAAATCAATTATATCCTCTGAAAATAACTCTGAGTCGTGACTGTTTACAATGGGTGTAACACCCGAGTCCCACTGTCTGTGATGCTTTCCGAGTTTTCCGAGTCCTATCTTCACTTTGTTTACATCGTCGGGACGGCCGGCCGGCTCATCCCCTTGCATATAAAAGTTGTTTACTTGAGGGACTAGAGAAAAGAAGAATTACATACTGTACTCACTGCTTAACTTTGTTTCTAGATCACGGTCATTTTGGGTAAATTTACATGCAGTATGAAGATATGATCATAATAAAGATCACTAGCATTAGCATGCTAACACAATAATGCAGCGCAAGTTGTTTTGGTTTCATGCTGGTGCTCAAGGGCGACATCTTCTGGATCAAAAAATCGCATATAAAGCCTTTAATTATTATATTTCTGGTTACTAATTTAGATAGCTATTTAAATTAAGGTCAACATATCTGTCAGGGGGGGCCACAGTAACTCAGTCTGTTGGGGTTTGGGTTGGGAACGGGAGGGTCCCCGTTTTAAAGGTCACATATTCTCTAAAATCCACTTCACCATGTTGTTCTAACACCAACATGTGTCCGTAGTCCGGCTACTTCCAAGCCCTTCCAGAGAGGGGGCGTGGTCAGACACAGCTCATTTACATTTAAAGGTCCTTTCGTGTGGCGGATGTGGATAAAACAAATACATATGAATACATAAATGATTCTCATTATTTTAAAGTAACTACTAAACAAAGATAGTTTTCTTTAACACATAATTTCTCACAGCAGTTTGGGCGTCGATCTGTCCACCCATTTCCATTCCCACTCATTTCGAAAATTATCCATTCTTACTGACAGCAGACCAATCCATGATGCTCCACGTTCATTCAGGTCACAGAGAAAGTCCTGGTCATTGAACAACAGAGACAATAAATGTTATTTTTTACTTCAAGAACAAGTATGTGTATGATAATACAGTAATTTTATCAAATATTCAAAAGGGAAATCAAACTTTCAGTCAACCTAACGACAGGCTGAGAGCTGGAGCTGAGGCGGGTTTTAAGCCTCCTGACAACCGTTACACCGCATCCGCCTGTAATCAGTCAGCTACACGCCTTATTGTGAATAACTCTCATCCTTTATCAAATCAAAACGGATGAGTTATCAAAACATTTACCCCCCGTACAGTGTGTGTTGATCGAGATATGAGCTAATCAGACCTATTTGGTTTTTTGAACCAGGCTGTAAACATGTTAATCTCTGCTGTAAAAACAGGCTTTTTAGAATGTGTGTGTATGTGACTTCCTGTGCTTCTGTAGCCAGCCTCTAGTGGACACTCGAGGAACTGTAGGATTTGACACTTCAGCATCGGCTTCATTTTCTTAACACCAAGGGGTGCCGCTTGGAAAGCACAGATGAAACTGGTGAGGGCAATCAAAGTGGAAGGAAACACAAGGGCAAGAAGTAAAACTCAACATGAAACGCTGCGAACACAGGACTACAAAATAAAACAGGAAACACTAAAGGCCAACTGAGAACACAGCGCTCTGTTACAGAGTTTGTTTGTCTCAATTTGCAGCTACAGACGATAGCAGGCTGTTACGTTACTGATGACACTTTTCTGAATAATGACGTCTGTAACCACCAGCTGATTCATGAGGGATAAACACAGACACGGAGGGATGAAACAGAAAAAAAGCTGCGTTTTGCGGATCACACACGGCCCTGAACCGTGGGGGGTGACCAAATCAGCATCCAGCAGCTTCCGGCGCTGCTGTTGGATCTCATACAGAGACGCAGGAGGATTTAATCAATTTAGGGTTTCTCTTTTACAAAGGTTGTTAAGGTGGAGGGCGCGTGTTGTTAAGTCTGCCACCTTCACTTCAAAGCGCTGCGGGAAACGCTGAACACAGACTTTACATTCACACTTTGACATAAAATGGACCTAACACTCACGTGTTCCTCTTTGCTGTTGATGATCACCAGATCTGCTCCTCTGTTCACACAGTCCGCTCTGCTCTCACTCCAGCTTCTCATCTCCGTAGATCGGTAGTAGCAGCTGCATCGAAACCTTCTCCAAAACCCTTCAGAACAAACAATCCTTTTCATTGTGTTTTATTAACAGAGTTTTAATCATTCTGGATTAATTAGACTGAAGGTATTTCTCACCTGTGCTGGTGGTCTCAGACAGGCAGAAACTGTTGTTCAGGTTTTTATAACTCTTGCTCAGCTCCTCGTAACTGGTTTTATACGTCATGTTGAGCTCGTCTGTTTGCACCAGGAAAGACAAAGAAACAGGGCGCTGACGTAGAATCAAACCTTTTATTTCAGTTTTGATTGACTGAAGATGTGTCGTTGAAATAAAGACATGGTCCTCACAGAGTTTAGACAGCACAGTGACGGCTGCGACCAGCAGGACACAAAGCAGAGCCAGGATCAGTGAGACAGCTTTCAAAGGGTTTTTTTGGACCGCAGGAGGAGGACGCTTTGGACTGCGTGCTGGTGAGAGACAAACTGTTGAGACATTCAACATGTTTAGAGGTCACATGTTATACAGAATCCACTTCACCATGTTTCTGTAACACTAATGTGTGTCTCTAGTCTGTCTACAAACCCCCCAATCATGAGAAAAGTCCATCCTCTCCATCTTTAGCCGGCTCCACTTTTCATAAAATGTGTGCTCAAACAGGCTGTTTGGAGATTTTCCCTTCATGACATCACATAGGGCAGTAGCCCCTCCCCCAGGTGGTTGACACTCCCACAGCTAGGTGTTTGTTCTGCCTCTTGAGTCTGCCCTCTCACCGTAAACAATAGGACATGGAGCGAGAAAGCCTGAGACACCCAAGCCCTTCCAGAGAGGGGGCGTGGTCAGACACAGCTCATTTACATTTAAAGGTACAGACACAGAAACAGCCTGTTCTGAGCAGGGCTGAAATAGAGGGGTTTATAGACATGATCAAATACAGGATCAGAGTGGATTTAGAATAAGAAACTTCACACATCTGTTTTGAGGAGCTCTGAGACTTATTTAAACTGGTTGAAGAGGAGGAGGATATGTGACCTTTAATGCAGCTGTTGGTCAGATTTATCTTTGTATAAAGATGACCAACCCCCCTTCACCTAAAACTCACATTAATGTTACAGACTAAAGGTCAAAGGTTTCTCTGGTGTGTTCAGTCCACAGAAAAGATACTTGTGTCTGTGTGAAGCAGACCCTCACGGTTATGGAAAGTTCAATGACTCCTTTTCTTAGAGCTCATTTCCTCTCACCGTTCCTCCTCGACTCTGATTATCTGCTGTCAAAACAGACGACTAATTTATATTGGATAAAATGCCATTTAAAAGTGGAACTGAAAGAAATCACCAACCCTGCCTTTTAGCTGTGATGCGATTCTATTCAAAACGAGAACGAGACCTGTTTGATTTCACGGTTTAAAAAAAAAAAAAAAAACAGAACTCCTCAGCGCTGAAATTTGGTCATTTCTCTATTTTAATTCACAGAAACTTCAAGAGTCCTGCAATTTGTCTAAACATTGGCAACGGGGGGGCTATGGAAACCCTTCCAACATATTTGTGCAGATAACAGTGATCATATCGTTTTGTTGTCTTAAAGTATCATAACGTTAAATACTTTGATGAACTTAAACGACCTGATGGGTAAAAACATCACTTAACCTCCTTTACATGTTAATCAGAGACGAGCCCTTCATTTGAATAAATTACCCACGTTCATTTTCTGTGAACAGTTCTAAATGTTTTTGATTAAGGTGTATTGAGTTCGTGTGTACCTCCATCTCGTGTTAACAGATAATCTTGAGTAGATATGTCGGCGCTCTCGTAGATGACGACCACTCTCTCCACGCTCTCTGCTCTTTCTGCTCCGTCTTTTTGGACTCCCTCGCCGTAGCTCACGGTCAGAGAGCAAGTCGGTTCTTCATAAATGTTAGAGGACATTTTGAGGAGAGTCATTCGCTTTATGTTGCAGTTTGTTTCTCATCAGAGTCAGCTCTTCTTCTGCTGCTGAAGGTGTTGTCTGTAAACGTGCACACAAGTCTTTGTGATTTTGGTGTACGTGTTGTTGCCACGGTTTCCACATCCAGGAAGCAATAACAGGAAAACACACCGCCACGTTCTTATCTCGGTTTTGATGATCAAATGATTTCAACTTCGAAGCTCTCCTTTAGTTGACATCCCTACCTGTAATCATGAGACACTTTAATGGACCTTTTTTAATTTGTTTTTATGTGCTGTCCTATTTGTCTTCTCTCGATGCGAGGCAAATTCCCCTATGAGTAACGAAGGTTATAGACAATCATTCTAAACACTTTAAAAAATGTTTTCATCTTTTGCATGTTTCAGGTTTTCACTCCAGATTAACTTCTGAGAGCCGGCTTTTTTTCTTTTCAGGATGATAAGTGTGCTTTGTGGTGTTTGCTGCAGCCTCAGTCAGATTTTTCACTGATTTGAATTCTTTTAAATTCCCCGTTGGTTTAATTTGATTATTTTCTTTTCTAACTTGTGTTTTACTTTTCTTCTTTATCAACCTGAAGCACACATCCTGTCGCACTCAAATTAGATCCTCTTATCACCACGGTCATGTCCTCGTGAGCATCTTCACTCGCTCTCAGATGTTGCACAAGTTTAAAAAAAAATTATAATCTGATGTTCACAAAAACATGAGCAGCAAAAGCCTTCAGCGTTAGAACGTGGTCTTAGTTTGTGGTGTAAAGAATCAGCAGGTTTTACACAGGTGTGCTTTCATTCATGTATTGTACTAGAGAAACTAAACGACTCTGTTCACTCTAGAGACGGAATATAGACAGCAAGACTGGATTATTATTGGATGATAACTTTATGGCTGCAGGTTACTTAATATTTGTGCAGGACAAATGTTGATATCTAGAAAATTATCCGTGTCCATAAAGTTACATCACGACGTTGTCTAATGTGGTTTAATAACTCTAAACCAGTTTTAAACTATGCTATGTGGTCTGGATACGGCAGCGTTTAGCGCTTCTTTTACAAAATACTCTAAAGGTCGACGCTCTCGTTTCTCTTAAACAAGTCGAGTCACTTGTCTCAAATCGTGTCACCTCAGTGTGCGCTTATTTTCTCTAAATATTCTTATTGCTGTCCATTTTTGTATCTCGACAGCATTGTGTAAGAGTCGCTGCACCTGTTAACAAGTCAGTCTGTTGTTAATTCTCTCTCTCTCTCTCCCCAGGGACCGACTGGTCCAGTTGGTGACATAGGTGTAGCTGGACCTCAGGGACCCCAAGGACCACAGGGACCCAGTGGGCGCTCCATCATCGGGTCCCCGGTACGACGAACACACAACAACAGAGTGATTTAACTTAGCAGCAAAGATAAAGTGGCCCGGGGCGCTGGTGGCGCAGTGGTTAGTGCACACGCCCCATGTATGGAGGCTGTAGTCCTCAACGCGGGTGGCCCCGGGTCAAGTTCACTGTCCTATCTCTAAATTAAAGGCACAAAAAGCCCAAAAATAAATCTTAAATTAAAAGAAAAAAAAAAAAAGATAAAGTTGACCTGGGTGATTGGTGCGATCCAGATCCTTTTCTTTGGATCCTTCCTGAGAGGAGTCCACTGAGTTATAATTTAAACATCTGAGGTCGTTCTCTGAGCGCCGACCTCCATCCGTGGAGCGGCTGAAGAGCAAGAGTTTCTACTTTACTCGAACTCTTTAATTGTCTCTTTATAGAGCTGAAATCGTTTGATTCTGTTATTACACTGAATTTATTTTCTATTCTGTTTTCTTTTTTGAGTGCAGGGTCCTCCTGGAGAGAGAGGACAGAAAGGTGACGCTGGACAACAAGGAGCTCAGGTATGAAGGAGGAAACGATGTGAAAGAACAGATTTACCCTCGGCATGGCTGTTCAGGACGCTCATAGGACGCTTTCTTTACCCGGCATAAATAGATGCAGACACTCTAATGTAACCCATGAGCCATTTGAAGCCATGATCAGGATACACTGGACCATTGTTACCAAAGGCCTTTTATTTCAGTTCCTCGTGGTAATTTGGATTATTTCACTGGTAAGAAGGCACAGGGGAAAGTTTTTTAGATGTGCTTTTAATAGTCCATTTTCAGAACATTGTAGTTTCACCACGGCAGACCCACGTCATTAACCTCGACGGCCTGTCACATTTAATGACGTGGCCTAGTGGAAATGTGGTCGGATTGTCAGAGCAACGCGACCACATTTCCCTAAGTCCTATATGAATTCTCCTAACATCTTTCCTTAACCTCATGACGTTTTCCCTGGGGTTAAGGTGAAGAGGATAGTGAAAGGAGATAAGAGGGACAATTTGGATGCAACCCTTCTTTTTGCAACTACTTGAGTCACCGCCTGCTGGTCACCCAAGGGAGTGCATGTTAAAATCCCTCTCTCATTGGCTGTCCTTGTCAAACCTCATGGTTAATTAGTTTATGTTTTAAACAGACGGCAAGTTTGTCGTAATGTGAGTATTTCACATTTGGTCTTCTACATCAGCCTCATGAGGCTGCAGAGCTCAAAAGCTACCCAGCTTGATTTTGCATTCTGCAGTTTTGTTTTGGTAAATGTGAGTTTGTCCGTCAGAGATACAAACTAATGCAGCTTGTTATTGACAGCGAGGAGGGCAGCAGGCTGTTTCACAAAGAGACTAGTCATTATGTCTCTGCTGTGAAACACTCGCACCAACACGACCTTTCAGGAGCACACAGTTGTCAGATTCTGAATAATGGTGCCATTTGCCAAAGGTTGAGTTCTGTTATTTCTGTTTCCTATTTTCCTGCAACAACAGGAGCACATTTTTAACAAGAGAGCCGAATCTTTTCTGTTTCTGAGGTTTTCTTTTTAAGGAGGATTCTCAGACATGTCTCGGGATCGGACTGAACACAGTAGTTTCTAGTTTTATGATCTGCTCATCAATGAGAATACATTTAAACTTTGGGTAGTTCAACGTGGGTGTCATGGAGCATTTCGACGATAAAGAGGCTGGTAGAAAGCGTCTGCGTCGACAGGATGTATTCGACCTTCAGCGTCCTCTGCTATTGTTTTTGTGTTTCAGGGAATCCCTGGCAGAGCCGGAGGTCCGGGTCGAGAAGGACCTGCAGGAGTCAGAGTGAGTTATAATGTTTACAACAACACTGATACACTGGCAATCGAGCTTCAGCACGGTACGGGACAACTTGTGTGAGTGCGCCCTAAAATGTCAGTGTCCATCATACACACGTCTTTCTCCTCCACAGGGACTTCCAGGCAAGGACGGACCACCCGGCAGACCGGGTCCTGCAGGGACTATCGTAAGTGAACATTTAACAATGACGGCCCTCATCTCTTTGTGTGTTTTTTCAACAGGACACAAGTCCAGTGTGTGTTAATGAAGCTACACATCTCTCTCTTTATTGAATGTTTGAAGTTATTTGATGCTAAAAACTGAAAACTGTTGAGAAGAAAAGGGTTCACAAAATGACCCCTTATGTGACCCCTTTCTGTAACTACACAGCCATAAAAAAGTAAAAAAGGACAGGAAAGGTATGATCTGTGTCAGTGGATGGTGACAGATTTTGCTGCCGTCTCTCTGGTTCTCTCTCGACACCTAAAGGTGGATTTAACCGGAGGTCACTGCAGCAGATGTTTATGAATCAATGCAGATTTCAGCTACAGTAACTTCAAGTTGATTACAGTACGTCTGTCCTCATCTCCTCAGGGGACTCCAGGAGCTCCAGGGGCCCCAGGAAACACGGGCCCTTCAGGAAAACAAGGAGAGCTGGGACCACCGGTGAGTCTGTCAACCAATCAGAGCTTCAATCTGCCTCTTCTGTTTAAACCCTTTCTTCTCTCCCTGTCTGAGTTAACACCAGAGCAGGTTTTTGAAGAGTAAATCCTCTTTTAGTTTTAATTAGACTTTAAAAGATTAACGAGACGAAGACATCGTTATGACAAGCTGGTTCAGGCAGTAACAGTATGTAGATACTTTATTGATCCTGGGGGAAAGTCAAAAGTAAAGGGAAGTCAACAGGGTAAACTTTGTTTTAAGCCGAGAACAACAAACCAAAAAGAGGCAGAAGGTCGTGCATGATGGCCATCCAGAGGGAGAGCGAGAGAAAGCTGAGGAAGTCTGGCTTATAGGAGGGCGGGGTAACCAAGTAACCAGCGAGCAAGCCATAACCGACCACCAGAGGGAGCCAAAGCTCTGAATCAGAAACAGAACAACAGTAACAGTAAGCGTCCTTCAGAGGATGCAGCCCCAGAAATGAGACGCACATTTTTAACTTCCATTTTCCATATTGTTGAATTGTTCACAAGCTTGTGTTTTTTATTTCCTTGTTTTCATTTCATTTTCTTCTCATGCAGGGCGGTCCGGGAAGCAAAGGTGACAAAGGTGAACGGGTGAGTGCGTCCTTCCATCATGAATGAATCCGCCCCGCTGCATGCATGATGCTGTGATTCCTCGTTAACAGAACACTAAGAGGATATCATGTTGGTGGTTAGAGAGAAAACACAAATACATGACTGAAAATAAAACAACAGCAGAAGAAATTAACCAATGAGGAGTTGCCCTGTCTCTAAAACATTACTCGTAATGCTGTCATTGTGATGTAAACATCTTCCATTTCTCTTCACGTTGTTCCTCTCGAGTCCTCCATCTATGAGTTCAGCGCTCCATTATGTTTGCTTAACTCTTGTGTTGATGGATCAGGCATGTGCCATCTCCTTGTCAGATTGTGTGCTTGTTTGTGTGTGAGCTAGTTTGTGTGTGTGCTCGTTTGTGTGTGAGCTTAGTTTGTGTGTGAGCTAGTTTGGGTGTGTGCTCGTTTGTGTGTGAGCTCATTTATGTGTGTGTGCTCGTTTGTGTGTGAGCGTTTGTCGGCTTGGGTCGGAGGTGCTCATAGTGATTATTTGATCTGTACACGTTTGTTGTGAGAGGTGAGGGAGGAATGCATGTGTGAGGGAGAGCTGTAGAGGCAAATCAATAACTGTTTGTTTTGTTAGTTTTTTTAAGATTTATTTTTGGCTTTTTGTGGGGCCTTATTCAAGAGATAGGACAGTTGATAGAGTCGGAAATCAGGGAATGAGAGAGTGGGGAATGACATGCGGGAAAGGAGTAACAGGTCGGATTCGAACCCGGGCCACCCGCTTGGAGGACCAAAGCCTCCACACATGGGGTGCGCGCACCAACCACTGTGCCACCACCCTTTTGTTAGTTTTTTAAAGCATGAAACTGTCTGAATAACAGGGTTTGATTTTAGATTTTACGAACAGTACTTATGTTTGCGTGTCTGCAGGGTGACCTCCAGTCGACAGCTTCTGTTCAGGCCATCGCCCGGCAGGTCTGTGAGCAGCTCATCCAGAGTGAGTAACCATGAGAACGCTTTATTACTCAGTTTATTCAGGAGAGACCAGAACATGAAGAGCACATACCATAAAGTATAAGATGCACTTTTCATACTTATTTTTTTATCGTAAAAGTTTGCTGTGTTCTATAAGGCCCGGCCCTGTGGGGGGGGGGGATCCTGGCCCGACCCGGCTTTGGGCAAATGAGGGCTTTCGCCGACAATCTAACCTCTAAGTCTGGTTCTGCTTGAGGTTTCTAACACTGTAACTCAGCTAGATGTGGCTTAGTGTTGTGCTGATGATGGATTCATGTTGGGTTTTTGTAAAGTCTTCAGATAACATAAAGATTGTTTAAAAAAAAAAAAAAAAAAAGTTGCTGACAGTTTTTTGTTGCAGCTCAGCCCAAATGGCCCTGCCTCAGACAAGGTTAATATCCAATGATAGTTAAGGATAAGGGGATTGCACCAGGAGTGGCTTGTCAGATTTCAAAGGGGGTCCATGCCACCTCTGGACACGGCCCTGCCTCTATGATACATCCAGGGAGCTGAACCTCTGGAAGTCATCCCTGTTCTTGTTTTTTCAGGCCACATGGCTCGCTACAACTCTATCCTGAGCAGCGCACCCAGTCCTCCGGTGAACATCCGCACGGTGCCGGGACCCCCTGGAGAGCCCGGCAGGCAGGGAACTCCAGGAGCTCAGGGAGAACAGGGACCCCCAGGACGACCCGGCTTCCCGGGACAGAACGGACAGAACGGACAACCAGGAGAGAGAGGTGAAGTGGAGCAGCAGAGTCACACAGAAGTCACCATTAAGGCCGTCAGAATGTTTCATACTCAGATACTTAGGGGCGACAATAGCTCAGTCCGTAGGGACCTGGGTTGGGAACCAAAGGGCCACCAGTTCATGTCCCAATGTCTGGTTGCTGGAGAGGTGCCTGGTCAGTTCCCGAGTATTGCCGAGGTGCCCTTGAGCAAGGCACCAAACCAACTTTGACACTTTCTATTAAAACACATTCAAAATGAAGAAATCCAAACAGTTAATTCTTCATATGTTGGAGGAAAAAGTTGCTGCATCTTAAAGTCTCAGTGAAATAACATATGTAACTCTGTTCTGTCTGTCCAGGTCAACCAGGAGATAAAGGAGAGAAGGGAGAGAAAGGTGTTGGAATCCAAGGCCCAAGAGGACCTCCAGGACCACAGGGTAAATTAGACCACACCAACCCAAAGCATTGACTGTCTATAAAGATGGACGAAGAGTCCTTCACCTCCTCTGATTGTGCAAGAGTGAAGCCAAAATATCGGTAGATAAAATAAGAAGACGGTGATGTCACTTTGATCCGTAGTCTGTGCAGTAGAGATTGGCAGGTGGAGCTACCGTTGAGACATTCTGCTCCTTCTTAAACACACCTTTAACTTCCTGCTAAAAGGTCAAAGGTCGCTCAGGTGGGTTCAGTCCACAGCAGAACAGATTCTTGTGTCGGTTTGAAGCAGAAGCAGACGCTCACGGTGATGGAAAGTTCAGAGACTCTCGGGTTTGTTACGTTTCCTCACCTCTGCCGTAATAATCCGCTGCACACAGCAACGCAGGAGCCTCATTGGTCAACACAGCTGTCAATCATGATGTCATACCCTTTTTATATCAAAAATTAATTACAATGAAATTTCTCAAAAACATGAACACTGTGTCATAAATCAGCGTCAGAAGAGCTTACTATGAAGACAGAAATCATGTTTGAGAAACATTTTGATTTTATAGTTTATCCCATTTCTTAACATGGAGGAGGCGGAGCTTATGGCCTAAACTGCAGCCAGTCAGCAGGGGGAGCTCTGAATGTTTTCCTGCCATGTCTTCCATCTTTGTATACAGACATAGATCCACAGCGTTATTAAATCTGATCCCTTGAGTCATTTGTATGACTTCTTTCCCCTCCAGGTGCTCAGGGTCAGGGCAGACCTGGCAGCCAGGGTTCCACAGGGCGACCTGGAAATCCAGGAACGCCCGGACGGCCTGGGGTTCCAGGACCCGTTGGCACTGCTGGACCACCGGGCTACTGTGACCAGAACTCGTGTGTGGGCTACAATGTTGGAGGTACGTAGAGTCACAAAGACGCAGCGTGAGGCTTTATGACATCAGGTGTAAGCCATGACTACAGAGGTTTAGAAACGACTCAGGAAACAAAATGATTTAAAGGTACTTTGTAAAGCCATAGAACTTAATAACAGATATTCTGTCTAGATCCAAACGATGATAATGGTTTTTTTAAAAATATATATTTTGGGCTTTTAATGCCTTTATTGGAAAGACAGGATGTCGACAAAAGAGCCACAGGCCGGACTCAAACCCAGGCCGCCCACCTGGAGGACTATTGCCTCCGTACAGGGCGCACTAACCACTAGGCGACTGACACCCTCGGATTAAAATCTTAAACATCAGTTGAAACTGTCTTCATGTCTGTGGTCTCCATGTTGTAACATCGTGTGTCGCCAGCTTGAGTCTATAGTGTCTTCAGAAATGATAATGTAGAAAATGTGCATTGTACCGTTAATATCTGATGGCAGGGTTCCAAGATGGCGGCTCGGTACTCTCTGATAGCTTCCCTATTATACCTTAATATCAAACGTGTCTTCACTGTGTCGAGGTCGTAATCAAAGAGTCAAACATAAAACTGTTTTCATATAAAAGATCATGCATGTGTTGTGTGTGTGTGTGTTTTAAAACGAGCATGAGAGCTCTTCAGAGCGGAGTGCGTCTTTTCAGTTTGAAGGTCAACAAGTGAAGCGTTTCATTCAGTCGCTTTCTCTTCATGATGAAAAGCCGCCGCTGAGTTAAACGGGCTGCATGTCGCTGAAGTCATTCATCGCACACTCGCTGTATTTAAAGGTTAACCACCTTCGAATACATTTAAGATACAGAATTCTGCTTCAGACTGGAACACACGAGGAGCTCAGCTCGCAGGTCTCACACCTTCTAACATTCTCCGATCACGTTGACACTCTGAGCTTGTTGTTGTTTAAGATCCTGAAAACAACTTTTCTTCATTCAGTTGATCAATCTGTCAGGTGAAGTTCCCTTAAAGGTCAAAGCTCCAAAATCACCAGAAGAAAAGATTAAAATATCAGCTCAAACCGTTTATCTCTACAGGTCGCACATCATCCATACACATGTTTACTGAACATATATATTATTTGGTAACACTTTTAATCAAGGTCATAATACTCACCGTTAACTTGTTGCTTATTAGCATGCTAATTAGTAGCATACTGGCTGCTTATTAGTCTTAGTTTAGTTTAAAAAGCAAGATTTACAATTCTGGTGATTTGAGTGAAACCGCCCTTTAAGGTCGTCTCTTCGTCCTGCAGAGACTCATTAAATCTGCATGATCTCCAACATCAACATCACACCATTACTGACTGAATTCTGCATCTTAACACGTCATGAATGATATCTTTATGTCAGTTGAATCTCTCTGTGATGTGGGAGAGGGTTTCATCTGATGCAGCATGGAGGCTTTTCTTTCCTCATATCACTCGAACACACCACCACTACAGAGTGTTTACAAATACAGAGAGAAGCTGCAGCTGATTAATCTGTGATGCTGCCAGCTTTCAGATCTGCAAAGTGTTAATTTGATCTGCAGAATCCAAACAACTCCGACTGTGTTTTCTCAGCCTTCACGGGGAGAACGGACTCGTGGGAAATTAAAAAGTAACACTTTTTGTAGTCGACGCAGCGTCACGTGCAGACACACAAATCAGCCAAACGTGGCTTTTTGTAAACACAGAGAATGTGTTTCAATCTGATACGAGTGAAGAAAACCTCAAAGATTCATCTTGAAGTGCATGATGGTGTTAACTCATGATGTGTTGAGGTTGAAGGTATAACAGCAGCCTAGAGGGCGCTGTGCAGCTCGCAGCCTGCCGCCTCGTCATGTGAGTAACGTCTGCATGTTGTAATGACTCGTCTGTCTTTGTGTGTTTGTCTCTCTCTCCTCCTCCTCTCTGTCTGTCTTTCTGTCTGCAAAACAAAACGCTCGTTTATTTCCTCCTGATGACTCCAGCTCAATATTTTAACGACCACTGAGCTGCGTTCAGAGCCGACGATCAGCAGGGATCAGTGAACTGCTGCAGGTGGTGTCACTTCATCAGCTGAACACACGCGGCCCCGACACAGAAATAAATAATTATCTTAAACTAACACAAAATAAAACGCTGAAGCTCTGAGCTGACGTGCAGCCATGCATTTGATTGTTCTTGTCTTTAAGAGTCGTTTTAGTTGTTTTCTAAAGATCTCGACTGACCCCTTCGTCCTCTTCTGACTCTCTCTCCTAGATTACGAGAATCCGTGGCCTCTTTTTTAAACCTCAGGCTTCACTCCTCTAACATCAACATTTATAAATATAACTGAGAGCTCATCTGCACGACAGCCCGCTGTTTGGACACTAAATGTTAAAATAATAATAAAATAATAATTCCACTTGATTAATAATAATTTAAATGTTGACAGTTTGAATGAGTAACACGTCTAATTACTGCCTGAGGAAACTCATCAGCTTTTCATTTGTAGTTGTTAATCCTGAACCCATCCTTCCTTATTCTGCTTCAGTCCGTAACCTTGGTAACCATGGTAACCCTGATGCAGTAACCCTCGGTCACTTTTGTTAACGCTTGTCCATGTGTCTCCTGCTCCTTCCTTCTTTCTCCCGCCCTCCTCTTCCTGTCTAACCCAATCAACTCCCCCCCCACAAAACAAAAAAACAATCCAAATTGCTTCCTGTGGTGTTGGGTGTCGGCCATCTTGGTTTTGGGCTCTCTGCCTGGCGTTCTGGCTTCGTCGGCTTCCGCCTGGTTGGTTGGCTACGCAGAGCGTGAGGATGTCACTGACGGAGGCCCTATGTCTGCAGTCCAACTGCCGCCCAACGTCTTCCAGAACTACGGCGAGGTCGAGGAGGACGATCCGTACCGATACTACCAACCCAACTACCCGGCTCCACGGCCCGTGGCGCCTGACGACCCCGCGTTTGCCCAGGATGACGTCGAACTGAGCTCCCCCGGCGTCTACCGCAGCGTCCGGAGCGTTGACGAAGAGGTGGAGAGAGTCGGGCCAAAGAGGAGGCTAAAGAGAGGAGCGAAGACGCCGCCGGGACTCATGCAGTGAGCGGATGTGATGGCGGACGGAGGGCTGCTCGCTGTTTCTGGTTGGGCGGTGCGGAGTCGTTACGGACTAATCAACAAGTGCCTGATGTAGAGGATTTCTTATGGACTTCGTAGAGGGGACGGGTCGGGGGTAACGCTATGCTACAATTGATGTTTGTTTTTATTTTTGTGTTTTCTCTGAGATCGCTGAGAGAAACATGTCAGTCCTGATTTCTATTTCTAGTTTTGATGTTTTTTTTGTTTCGCTCGTCGGTAAAGTGCCTCGTAACGGTGTCAAAAGATTCTGGAAGAACACAAAGAGGTTCTGCAAGCGTTTATACGGCGAGACGCTCGCAGGTTAAATCTAATCGAAACAACGCCAACGTTTATATCTACCTTTAAGTTTCATAAATCACTGTCAAGTGAAAGGCTTTCCGATTTCATACATCTGATTAAGTTTGATGGCGTTGTGGCGAGTTCACTGCAGGCGCTGCAGGTCAGGCACGCTGACATCATTACGACCACGTCCCTGAAATCTCAGGTGTGTGGTCGTCATGATGTCAGGAGGACATTTTTAATGTGTAGAAGTCTCGGCTGTAAGTTTACTGAAATGCAAACAACAAACACAACAAACACTTTTCCTACGTGGTGCTGCATGTCCATCCCGTCTCTATGACAACAGTCCCTATGACAACAGACTGTTTACAACGGCCGCTGTATGACCGACATTTCTCCATTACGATCTGTAGGACATAAATATGAGGAATGTCAAACATGTGGAACAGAGCACCGGTGATGTCAGCAGCGCCTTTCTGAAAAGATCAAAGATTCTCAACTTGAGCGCTCGGAGCGGCGTTCTGAAAAAAGACGCTGAGCGCTGCGCTTTTTCTCTTGGTGGCCGCCTGCTGCTGCAAACGCTTTAAAATATGATTAAGAGCTACTAAAACCAGATAACCTCATCGCCAACATTCCCTAACCTTAAAGCCTCCCGCCACACCCAAACAGCATACTACCACACACGCCTGCTACGCTATCGCGGCGTTTGACGTCAGCTGGGCTGTTGTTTACTTCCTCATTCCAAGACCGGAGACCAGCTCAGCCGGGCCTGCTGTCCTGCAGAATAACCACGACTGGACTTCTGTCCAACGTAGTATTTAAATCACACTGTGCTGGACAGAAGTCTGCAGCCTAATTATTTTATAGCTCCACCTCCTTGTCCATTAGTGGTCGTGATTGGTCGGATGTGATCGTGCCTGATCTGCAGCAAAACTTTTGAACCTGTGTCACATTTGAGATTTTTTTTACCGTCTTTCTGTCGCCTCCTTTTTTTCCTTTTATAGATTATTTAAAAATAAAAGAACAGAAAGTTATTTATGTAAAGTTCTGCATGTTTTTAATCTGGTCGACACGTTGAACCGTTTGATATGAAGATGTTTTTTATCCTTCATGCAGTCTCGATGTTTCGCTCTCGGCCGATGTGTCGGTGTTTAAAACTCCGACAGTAACAGCTGCTGTGAGCAGAGCGATTATGTTTCTGTGTTTGTGTTTTGGTTTCGTTTTCAGGAGCTTTTTGTCGAGTTGTCAGAGGGATGAAACAAACAAGACGATTAAAACGAGATTATAAAAATGATCCGACGATAAGGACGGACAGCTGGTTCCCTCTCTGTGTTTCTTTGTTTGGATTGATCTGCCTCCATCCGTCACATTTATCACTCAGATATTTTAACTTCCCCGGGCCCGCCATCTGGCGCACGTTCACTTTTTATATATTTCATGCTCAAACTGGAGACTGATTTGGAAACAGACGCTCGGCTGCTCTGTTCTATCGGAGGTCACACCGTTCTTCACTCGGTTTGATTTGCTGCAGAAAATGTGCCTCGTTTAAGTTTTTGTTTCAGGAAGTCAGAAGTGGAGCTCACGTTGTTTCCCAAATATCTCTAAAATGTTTATTTCTGAGGCCTTCAGGTGAGCAGAGCACAGGTGTCCCTCTACCCCTCTGATCAGGACGTGTTCAGAAATACAAATCAGCAAAGTAATTTATTTTTTACTTGGTGTTGATTTTCTCAGAACAATAAAACTGAAGTACAACCCTTACTGTCGTCGTCTTTGTGGACTGTTTGATGTGTTACCGTCCTTCAGCAGGTGATAGGACCGAACGCAGGAAACCAGCTGAGCCGTCAGGTGAGCCGCAAAGTTCGACACCTCCGACCTCACTTCTGCTCTGATGAGTCTGAGAAGGTCGAGCAATCGTCTGAAACACAAACTGAACCCTCAGAGTTTAGAGGCTTACTCAGATTTTCAGACCAAAACAAACGCTCTCTTTGGACACGCCTCCGTCTTCCCTCAGCTCCCCCCTCCCTTCCTGTTCCCAGACTTTCCCGCCCCTCTCTCTTCCTGTTTCACTAGCGAGCGTCTGTGAGACGGAGAGGGTCAGAGGAGCGCGTATAAACATCTAAACACAAGATTATGAGATCAATAACGAGAGGATACGTTCCTCAGTTGATTCAGTTTCTATTGGTATTTTAAAAACCTATAGACATTTAGTGGGCGGGGCTTTCTTCCCCATGTGGTGCTAACGATTAGAGACGGAACCGCCGCCAGTGAGCTTCTGATTTTAGCTTTCTTGTATGTAACATCTTTTTCTTTTCTCTCTTAATTTAAAAAAAAATGTTTTCTTGATTTCTGGCCCTCAAAGATTTGAAATCTTTGCTTTGAACGAGGTGAACCAAAAATATCTCCACGAGTTTGACTCGGCTTCCCTTCAATCAGACGGATCACTTTAAATTAACTTAAATATTTTTGAGGCAATGTGCTTCTATCCATATGAATACGACAGATATATATGACAGACTGAAGGTTCCACCTCCTCGCTGCTTTAGACACTTTGACCTCTAAAACACAGAGAGGGCGCTGAATCTAAGACGAGAGAGAGAAGTTCATTTCCATTTGGGAACCAATAAATGATCAATAATTCATCGGTCCGCTGAGGAGCGCTGTAAATACTTAATCGAGTTTTCCTCTTCAGTTTGATTTCCCCTCAGGCGAAACAAAACTCTCCGTGTTGACTTTTAACGTGACGTGAGTGATTTGAGAAGTCTGAATGTTTTTCCTCGTCAGTTTAAATCACAGTTTGTGGAATCGTTGCCCGAGCTTTCTCTTAATACGGACGAGAAACTTTGAGGCTGAAGAGAGAGACTCCTTTTACTCTCGATGCGTGAAAATAGATCCAAACAGCTGTAAATAAAATGACTGTAGAAAGTCAAAAGAGAAGCTAGAGCGGTCAGCGTTAACGAGTTAATCACATTAATCTTGTGTTATTTTGTCCCTTCATGCTCTCTGTAGATAGTCGTCCTCAGTGTCTCCCTGTAGTCTCAGTGATGTAAAAGAGGACACTGCTGCATCTTTGAATGTCTCATTTCACTTTAACAAACTCTCAGACAGCTCAGCTGACGAGTCCAAAGTAATATCCACCTTATGACATCACACATTGACCGTTGTTACGGTTCCTTTGAGATGTTTGACCTCACTTGATCACAGGGGATCCCTAACCACTTCCTGTTTCTGTACTTAACTTCCTGTCCTAACCTTCACTCTACAGGAAGGGCCTTACTTTATTTTTTTTTAAAAGCACACAGCAAGTGAAGTACTCTCAGTTTAAGACAGAACAAACATTCAAAATAAAAGCCTCACTATTTTTTTCTTTTTTTTTTTAATGCCAAATAATAAAGAACACAATTAAAAATAGTTTGAGTTCAATAAAGCTCTCTGTGCTGTCGAGGTGATGTGTATGGACTCTCCTGCCGGCTCTGGGATTCACTCTGATCGCAGCACATTCACATTGAATCCTCATCAGGGATCCTGACGCTTATTTTAAAATGCAAAATCAAGAATTTCCAACATGCTATTAAAAACTGTACTCGTTTGACGGCCCTCGTTTCTGTTTCCGTTCATATTTATGAATGAATATAATAGTGTTCTTTTTTATGATAACGTTGGTTAGAAGTTATATAAAAGTTGATTTAGTGTCACAGAGGTCAGTAACCAGCAGGAAGTTCAAACAGATCTCGCCGTCATGCCTCATGAGTGTTAAAAAGTGACAGCAGCTGTTTGTGCTCCTGATTCTCCGTCATCCTCTTGAGCGCCCCGAGTGGTTAAATTCAGTAATTACAGCTCGTTAGTTCGATTATAATGTATATGTCATTATAATCTCAGATACAGACGTCTTGTGTTTTTGTTTTTCTTTAGTTTGATGAGTTTTAATTGAACCACTTAACCTTTTCTCTCCTCTGTTTATGAGAGCTGCTCTGTTCCTACACTGACTGACTGCTGCCCCCGTGTGGTGGAAGTGAGGTATGACACCTTTGAATTATGACAAAATGCAGAAAGTCTGTTTTTACTTCTTTCATGCAACTTAAAACATGTTGAAGATACTGAGGATGAAAGAATCCTCCACACTAAACTCTATGAAACAGTTTTTAAGATGATAAATCTTTATCATCACTGAAGCACAAAATAAATATCTACATTAAGTCAAAGTAACGAGCCGGATATTTTCAGCTCAGAGAAATACTCGAGTTCAGCCACGCGTGTTGCTCTGTGGTCCAATAAACAGAAACATCTTCTGTATTTAAGCTGCTCGTCAACGGTCGTATTTACACAAATTCAAACGACGAAATGAAGACAACTCGTGCAGATTTGATATTAAAAATAATTTTGATCCAATAAAAACGATTTAGTGATTAAAGCTGAATCAGAACTGCGTCTATACCTCGATGAAGACTGGAGCTGCATCTTCCCTAAAACACAGTAAAACACAAGTGACAGTAAAAGAGACTGAACTAACCTCAAGGTTTTCAAACAGCTGGATCGGATCACCGAGGTTGCTGCCCCTCGTCACAATTCTGTTTGTGATTTCCATGGACAGGATCTAGAAGGTGTAGTCGGGGTGAAGGAGGGTTTCCAGTTTGGGGGGCCTCAAGATCTCATCTCTGCTTTTTGGAGATGATGTGGTTCTGTTGGCTTCCTCATGCAGACGTTGGGGCGGTTTGCAGGCAAGTGCGAAGTGGCTGGGAGTCTGAGGCCATTCTCTGACGGATTGCTCCGTCCGGCTGAGTGAGGAGTTTAAGTTTCTCAGGGTCTTGTTCGGTTCAGTATCATCAAGAGTTTAGAAAGAGGGGGAGGGGATTAGATATTCAGGAGGAGCTTGGAGTAGAGCGGGTACTTCTTCACATCGAAAGGAGACAGTTGAGGTGGTTCAGGCATCTGATCAGGATCCTCCTGGACGACTCCCTTTGGAGGTTTTTTTGGCACACCCAACTGGGAGGAGACCCCGGGCTGAACCCAGAGCTCAGTTTGGGGATTATATATCCCTTCTGGCCTGGGCACGACTCAGAATCCCCCCAGCAGGAGGAAGTGGAAAATGTTGCTGGGGAGAGGGACGTCTGGGGCGACTTACTGCGCCACCGCGACCCGTCCCCGGATAAGTGAAAGAAAGTGGATGGATGAATCAAATAATTTCACAGTTCTGTTTTCTGTAATGTAATTTAAAATCATTTATTTTAAACCAAATTTAAAATAATTTGATTTATTCTTAAAAATAGAATCAGTGATTTCCTCCTCAGAAAACTTGAAGAGTTTAAATCTTTCAGCTGGGTTAGGGGTTAGCAGACAGACTTCTCGCTATGAAACATTTAAACCTTCTTACTCTCTGAATGTTGACGTACATCTCCACACTAATCCCTCAAACACAGAATAAACGTACCTCCTGAAGTAGACGCCACCTGAGATATATAAAGAGAAAAAAACAATCTTTCATTCTGTAGCACTTTTACCGTGTATAGTAGACGAGAGGTTGGTTGTTTTATCAACATAGTATTTATTGAAGAATGTAACACAGCGTTAAAATGAATGACCAATACAGGCGACACGGTAGCTTTAGAAATACAGTTCACTAGACAAGGCACACATACATTACTGTGGCAGTGTGCAAGGATGACTGATGAATCACTTGATCCCCATAGTAACAAGGTATACAGGGAAAAATAGCTGCTCCTAATCACACTCAAGATCCAACTGATACATTTAACGACACTCCCTAAAAATCACTAACTTCACCTGCTCACGCAGCAAATAATTCATGCATAACACTACAAATTAATAAACACATCAAAAGGGATCAAGGCGTTCAGAGCTACTACCCCCTCCCATGTAGCTTTACTATGAATTCATGAATTGCACTTCGCCCATAAAAAGTCTATTGCACGCGGCCCATCAAAGTATTTAAATTGAAACTACTTCTAAAAATAAACAAAAGTAAATATGAAAGTGGAGAAAAACTGACAGTTTTGAGTTAATTCCAAGTCCTAGAGAAATAAACAAGACTTTAAATCAACATCAAAAACATAATAATTACATTTCTTAAAAGTGTCAACCCAAAATAGTATAGGCTACCTTTAATTCATCAACTTAGCACCCAGACCAGCAGTGTGCTTTTAATGTTGTGATGAGCCATACTAAAAAAAAATTAGTAGAAGAAAAATAATAATGATATTTTATAATAATAATTACATAGTGTCACATAATTGTATACATTAATTTTGCACAATAATAATCAGAAAGTTTACTCCTGTTGCTGCCGCTGATGCTTAAGAGCGATAATAAAATATAAACTAATTATTAAAGCCCAACAGAGATGATTTAATTCATAGCACAACATGAGGACTCTCGTACCGTTAAAACAATGAGTCACTACAGCGTCCAGTCGTCCTCCTACTTGTTCTAATCCGCGATCCTCAAGAGTGAATAAATGTAACTTTAGCACGGTTCTTGCATGTGCTTTCATACTGTGTGGATAGAAACGTTTGAAGTTTTAAGTTCTACACACAGGTAAGAGAGGGCGAGCGCTTGATTACGTCACCCTTAACCTCTCCCGGGGACTGACAAGCAACCACATTACAATTCTTCACATGAGGTCGACTTTTGGGTGGAGATCTGCCAGATTGAATGACGTTTGGTCAGAGTTGCTTTAAAATAAAACTGCATGTGATGGAAGCTGCTGAACCTCATCTACAGGCGGAGCGGAGTGCAACGAAATC